TCCAGCATAGCGGGGCTCTAACAAATTTGCTAGAAAATGTGGTGGACCTAACGCCTGACTATAGCGATTTGAAAATTTTGCTAAACATGTTTTCTCAAGATTCTCATCTTTTAGATCTTTTTCCAAATATCAACAGCTCTCGAAATGGTGCAATCTTTCTGTTGCATTTTATCTAGAGCTGTAGAAATGGGGTTTAAACGCCTTAAAAGTTCTTCAGCATTTCGCTTGATTCCAAAGTTGGTGACTTTTTTATAAACATTATCATCAATATCTTTGCGATTTCCATCGCAAACTTTAACAATGATTGATCAGTTCTTCAAATAAGCTGAAATACAGTCAGCCATTGTATTCCAACGATTATCTAGTGGTATCACTAATTTCAATCCCCCAGCTTCTCTATACATAGCATTTGCAAAATGATTATTCCGAAAATATTGCACTATATGTAATATTTGTCCTTTTATATTTGGAATGTTTATATTTTCTGCAAAAAGATTTAGCAAATGGGCGGAGCAGCGATATGTGATTAGGTTTAAATTAGGATCACTTTGAATGTTGGTCCGGATACCCTTCACATTGGAAGCATTATCAGTGAATTTGCTCCAACGACACATTTAAATTCATTTTCACATTTTATTATAGTACTTTTAGTAACTTCTGCCAAGTACTCTGATGTGTGCGAACAGCCTGATGTATCAATAGAATCCACTAAATAATTTTCACCTTTTTCAGTGGTTACAACAGCACAGAGTATTGGTTCATTGTGGACAGTTGACCAACCATCTATGCTTAAGTTCACAATTTGTTCAATTAGATATTCAGAACATTTGGCTTTCTCTTGGTTATATATAGAATCTAGTAATGCACCACCTATTTCTACTTCATGAGGAGCAGTATATCCTGGTCTCAAACCAGAAATCATTTTTTTAAACTGAGGGTGTTGAACATCATGAAAAGCGGAGTTGGTTGCATAAATATACTTGGCTACTTCTTCATCCAGACTTTGTTTTAGTGGTTTTTATCACATGAGCAGTCATGCTGTTCTGAACGCTATTAATATTTTCCATCTCAGTTGCTTTCCTCTTCTTAGTTTTTCTTGTCTCTAGCACCTCTGTATCTTAGCTAAAAGCTTTTTCTGAGATGGGTGGAATTTCAAGTTATCCATCTCTTCCTTATTACAGGACATATATATATTTCCACATGCACCTTGCTACTAAACCCATTATAACTTTTCCACAATTCTTGCATTTAGCTTTTACTCCTTTTCCTGAAAATGTAGGCTCTGCATCAAAATAAATCCAAATATTATTCATTTTCCTTCCTGCCATTTTTCTACTAAGTTACTCAGGGACTGCACTCTTCCTATTTTTCCTACTTTTCTTATTATTTCAGCACCCCTCTTTTTTTCCTGTTATTTCTTACTTTTTCTTATTTTTTAAAAAATCATGTCATTTCTGCTATTTCCTTAATGCATAGTGACAGCCAAGGAAACAATAATGATTCAGGGTAAAGTATTGCACCTGTTTTTCAATTCCTTTGTTCTGAATGGGGTGTGAGAACATGAATTCTTTTTATTTTGCAGCTTCTGTTTATTCTTGTTCCAGAAAAAAAAAATTTTTTGATAATGACTGGTCAGCTAGAATTTCAATTAGATAGTATTAAAAAAACTGAAATCAGGAAAGTTTAAAAGATAGTTTGCTCTAGAAATCATGTTCTTTTTTTCATTTTTAAAAAAAAAAAACTCTATATTGTACATTTAATTAAAAAAAAATTTATTTTGTTACAATTTCAAATTTTTTGCAAAATAATTAATAAATGTGCTTATTCCATTGTAAATGTATGTAGTGTGTTGTAACTTATATATCTGTTATTAAAAGTAGTTTGCAGAAACCCAGAAAAATTCTGCTCCATGATTAATAATAATTATATTGTAAATTTATAATAATTGTAAAATTCAATAAATTAGAGGGAACATTAATAAAATCTAAATTTCTTTAACCTTAAGAAGTTAACACATTTTATCAGTTAATAACCCTACTGCTTCAAATAGACTTTGAAGGGAAAAATGGCACTATATCAGAAAAAGAATAACTGAATTCATCAGCATTTTTCTTTTTTTCTATTTTTGGCATATTAGAGTAATTTATTTTTAATATAACCTCAAGTTTTAGAAATATACATTTTCCACCAATAAAATATAGTGTAGATTTTAATTCCGTGCTTTTTCAATCAAAAGAGTAGAAATTTAATTAACATAATTTGTATTTTTTTGTGAAAAAAATTCATGTTTATTAATTACTTTCTACATCTATGCAAGCCTATATTAAGACTGCATTAAATGTTTACTTTAATCTGTAAGATTTTTAAAAATGTAATTTCGAATGTGTTGGAATTTAACACACACCAAGAAAGTAATTTTGTTAATTAAACTTAATTAATGCAGCAATTTATTTAAAATAAATTTTAAAACTAAGAAAAGAAAATATTAAAAGTATCAACAAGAAAACACTGTTGTTCACTTTAAAACACTGTTTTTTAACTTTTTAAATCAATATATATATAAAAAATCAGTTGATTTAAATCAATGATATTTTTTAAAAAATCAGTTGATTTAAATCAACGAACCCTGCTCACAGTGTGGCAGAATTTTTTCGAGCTTTCTGCAACAAACTTCCCTAGCATTAATACTTTTCTTTAAGATACTTTTAATTATAACAATTACTAATTTAAAGTAACGGAAACGCTGTGTTTAAAGAAGAAAGTATAGAATAAAGTGTATAAAAAATTTTAATTGTAAAAGTAATATTTTTTTTTTATTTCTAATATTATAGGCACTTTCTCGCATTTTGTTAGTGGAAAAATGCACTCATTATTTCCTCTTCCAAATTTTGTTAATCATTACAAATATTAAAATTCATAAATAAATACAACGATAATAATTCGAAATAAAAAGTTGAGAATTACACAGAAATTAAAAATTGTAAAATCCACACAGTTATTCCAAAATAAAGAGCGACGACAAAATCACGCGAATAAGACTCTTTAAAAAAGAGATACTCAAATAAGTATGCATGAAACATGGTGTTCTTTAAGAAAAAAAAATATTAAAGAAAGAACATCATTTCTAATGCGAATTATCTTTTAAACTTTCGTGATTTCTGAATTTATCATTTTATATTATTAATTTTAAATTCTAACTGAAGCCAGTCATTACGGACTTTTTTTAAATCTCAAATAAGAATCGAAAAATCTCGATTATTTTTTTCCTCTCTAATGTGCAAGAAAGAAATCTTTGAAAAAAAATTCCTCGGGGGAAAAAAAAAAAATTCGAAAAATTATGCAGAAAGGAAAGCCAAATTTTTCCCTTTCCAAAAGAAAGATCTTTCTGCAAAAACTCTGTAATGCTCTGCGACAATGTCACCGCAATACTGCCACGGTGTTCCTTATATTTCTTATTATGAAAAGATGTGATTTACTTCAGAAATGTGAAGCGTATCATCACTGGGTACAAGACTGTAATCATAGAGTAAGAAAAATGAACCCTCTCAAAACATGATACTGACTACACAACAATTAATTCTAAAGTGTACTGTCATCAGCTTTACACGAAGGTATTGATCAATAGAAAAAGTATAGCATTCCAAATTAATGCCAGGTTTTATACAAATTTGATAACTTTCCAAAAGCTTTTACAGCTCGGGTGGGATATACTGCTACACCCACCATATACCCCAGATTCGGCACCTTCTGATTATTATTTGTTTCTTTTTCTTTAAAATTTTAAGCTGTAAAACCTTTACTGCAAATGTGGTGGTCTGAAATCACCTGAATCAGAAGAACAACACTTTTATGAGACCAGAATGGACAATATATAATTCCATAAAATATTTACCTATTCACTATAAAAAAAAAAAAATTCATTAAAAAAAGTTATAATTTTACTTTCCAAGCAACCCAATAAAATGGTTTCGATTTCTTTCACTTGATTTGAGAGAAATATATTTCTTCCTGGTTTAGATTTTTTTATTTTGAAGCTTTTGAAAAAAAATTGCCCTCCCTGCTCCTTATACATCTAATTTAAAGCTAAGCATAAAGAGTTGTCCATTAGCTGACAGTGCTTATTTTGAATTCAAGTCCACTGTATAAGGAATTCTGTGACTATAATGCTATTTCAATCTATAAAGGTAAGGTTAATTTGGCAGGTTGCTACATATACTTGTATCTAACATTCAACAAATAAACTACGCTCTGATAGTCACATGGGTCGACGAAAAAAAGTTTTATCTTTGGTGAGTAAATTATGATTCATGTTTTCATTTCTTTTTTTTTCTTCCTTTTTTTTATATACATATACTTTCCAATAACTAAAATTGGCAGTAAGATTAAAAATATTACACGACAACATACCTGCAAAGTCTCCTATTTTTCAGAGAAGACTCCTGTATTTTACGTCTATCTCCTATTCACCTGTACATTCTCAAATTTTTCCGTATTTGCTGATGAGATTTGAAAAAGAAAATTGGTAATAAAACATCTGCTGATGGCAAAAATACTTCTCTCATTCCTCAACAAATGGTGCTATTGCCAGTACTGCAGTATGTTGAGTGTTTATAGTTTAAATAATTTTTAAAAAAAAAACTGTAGTTATTTTAAAAAATTATCTCTTTATCTAATAAAAAGAGATACTAAATTTCTTTGGATTAATATTTATATACATATTTTTTGCACATAAAGTTTTTCACTTTATGCCCCAATCACCCCTGTTCATATTGAGTTATTTTAAAGTAAACATATGTTTAATTATTCGATTTTAATTCATTTATTCTGAATCCTTTTGTGTGTGTGTGTGTGTATCTTCGTTTGTAAAGTCTAGATTTGAGGGTATATATATATATATATATATATATTGGATCTGGCATGGAATTCTGACTTGTGACAAAAATGTTTTGAGTTTTTTCTTCCTGCTCTTATGCCTAAAATGTCGATCTGTTTTTTTTCAGATACCACTACAGCTGATGAGAATGACTACGAGCCTGAAATTCTTTGTGTAACCTCTATTGAAAATTTCCAAGAAATTTCTGATTTGAGTAAAAGTAATATCGATCTCAAACCGGACCTAACGTGTTCTTTTCCCGCCAACGAATCATCGTCCGAAATCGCATCTGTTACGATGACCTTTTGTCAGGAAGACGCAGATTCTATGCAGATGTCTGAGGACGAGGATATTCAGGAGCTGCTTTTCATCCCAAAAGAATCGCAAACTGAACTGAATAAAACTGGCACAGAATCTACAAAGCTGTGTCATAATGAGGACGTTCAAGAACTGCCTTTGCCTAAGGTGTATCAATGCCAAATAGTTAGATCTATGCAAACATCCATCAGCGAGGAACCAACTGCGTCAAATATTTCAGGTGATGGCCTGTGTGGCAGGTTTTATCCTGAAGTTTTAGTGCCACAATCTAATCTAAATAGGCTGCCAGACATTCCAACAACAATTTCAAATCCTGTTTCTGAACAGTTTGCATCAATATACATGGATAATTTTTTGTTTGCAAATGATAAACAATTTGTAAATTCTAAATCTCCATCTGAAACTCATAACAGTTGTGCTTCCATGTTACCAAGTATGAAAAAATTTAATATTTTAATTTTAACGAGGGTTTTTTGCTTCTAGCTAATAGAGATTTTGAAAAGCTAGGTTGAGGTGGCTCAGATGATAGAGCTCTTGCCTCCAAATGAGATGTATGGGGTTCGAATCCCAGGGATGGCTGTCGATACGAATTCCGCAACAACCACAGAAAAATATCCTAAGTGGTAGATGAGTTGTGAGTCCCTTTGTCATTGGGTTAACTGTGGAATGTTTTCGTGGTTTTCTTCTCCATGCAATGCAATTTGTTTTATCAAAACGTCTTCCACGAAAGCAAATTTCTCCCAATACTTGATCCAAGTGTTACATTGTCCTCTGGATTGAGTCCAAAATGACAAGGCTATGGAGTTGAACATTGGTAGTCTTCACTTAAAAATTTGGTAGGCTGTTCGGTAGGACAACAGGTTATTTTGAAAAAGAAATCTTTAAGAGTCCCCCATCGCTCTAATCTTAACACTATATTTGGACTTCACACCACATTTTCTTCCCCAGAATTCCTAAAAAATTAAAAATCTATGTTCATGTGTTTTTAAAAAATGTTTAAAAGTGCTTATTTTTGTTTTTTAAAATTCCTTAAAGATGCTTTTTTCTCTGAATGTTTTTAAAAAGGGATTGATTTTCCAAAATAAGACATTGTTCTATTTAATATTTTCACAATTAATTCAACTCATCTATTCTGGCGTACTCTCAGTGCGTAGCGTATGAAAATGCCACTCTCGATTTGAATCTTGACACCTCTTAATAGTAGTTTGGTTTAAAAACAATTGAAATGAAAAATTCAATTATCTCAGATTTGTTAAATATTATGAATGTTGGGACCCTATAATAATTTACTTCTGACAAAAATGTTTAACTTCAATACTCATTGTATTTACTTTTCGCAATTTTTTTTATTTAAATTTTCTTAGTTTGCTTAATTCTTTATATATCTTTATAAATTCGAAACAATTTTGTTAATGTTTTGGTGAATATGCTTTTAAAAATAGTTTTTATTTAAATCTGAAAAATAAATTCAACAACTTTTTTGAATAATAGTTTAATTTAATTATGAATTAAATTTGTTACATATGTAAGTAATTATCATTTAAAAAAATAGAATGAGCCCCTCATTATTGAATACAAATTGTGGGTAAATTGTTTTTAATGTTGGCTAATATAATAAAAAGAAAAGATTTCTTTGTCAGTAACGAGTTATTTTATCATGATCATGTAAAGTATTTGAAAATTATTTTCCATTTTGTTAATATATATGTAAAAAGATGCAGTCGGACCGAGCAAGGAAAACAGACACAGGATTTTGATGAAATCAGAGTAACTTTATTTATGTCGTACTTTATTGAGTGGGAGCGAAAAAGTGAAGTTTACTCCATCAGCGATCATTCTTTCTGGTAGGGAAAATCTTGCAAAAAATCTGAAAATGTCTCTATTTAGGGAAAAGAAGGAAATCTTAGAGATTATTATTGGTTTAAGAACTAGCTCGAGTGATTCCCACAGAGCTTAAAAGGAAAGAATGTCTTTATTTAAATTTATGCATAGTTGGGTCAAAAATAGATTTAGAAACAGGATGTGACTTTTTAAAGTGTGAGAAAGCAGTTCAACTTGAATAATTAATTAGTAATAAAATAGGAGTTGTTTTATAACGAAGAAGCTAATATAAAAAGATTAATAGAAGCTTTTTATGTTACATATATATGAAGAACATTCAACAATAGGAAGAAGAAAAAAAAAATTTATTAGAGCACATATCCTAATTACGATATTTTTTAGTGCTTAAAACTGTTTTTTTTTAGTGCTTAAATAGCGTTTAAAAGGTACTAATTTTTTGTTGAAAAATTTGGGTATACACCCTGGTGTTGCTATGGGGTAGAAAATAAAATTAGCACTATGTTTAATGTAAGACCACCTCTGTCCAAAATATCTTTCATATTTATTAATTTTACTCCCAAAATAGTATTGCATAATTAATTAATAAAATTTAGCCATGGGACTATTTACATATTTTAGTTCAATTTAAAAAATATTTTAATTTCTGAAACAAATTTGTTTTAATAAATACAATAATAAAGATTGCAATTGAAGCTTAATACAAATTGAAATTTTATTATGTTTTTAAAAAAGTTATAAGATAGTTTCATTTTTATTATCAACTCTTTTATTACCAAGAAATTTCATGTTTCTGTCTGTATCTTCACCTTTCAAAAATTTCTTATATTTAGCTGATCCTTTGGGATGGACTTTAAATAACAAATTACACCATCCTTGCACAATCCCCCCCCCCCCCNCCCCCCCCCCCCCGGATAGTTAACCCCGCTCTCTATGACAGAATCAGGCGATATTGTCGCAGAAAGATTTTTCTTCTGAAAAGTAAAAACACGTCATATTTGAACCATGCATTTACAGAGTGCGTAGAGTTTTTAAAAAGTGCTTAAAGGTGCTTATTTTTGTTTTTTAAAAGCCTTTAAAGGTTTTTTCATTGGGTGTTTTTAAAAAGTGCTTAATTTTCCCTTTTTCAAAATGAGATTTTTCTTTTACCATGTTGATTTTCGCTTCGAATTATGCAAAAAGACACAGTTCATATTGTTCTATTCAGCGTTTTCACAATTTATTCAACCTCAATTTATTTCGGCGTGTTGTCAGTCCGTAGCGTATTAAACGCCTTTCTTTTTTCATGATTTAAAATTTCCTGATTTTTGACAATTGTCAAAAACAATGCCAGAAGTTTTTTTTTTTTTTTTTTTTTTTTTTTTTTTTTTTTTTTTTTTTTNTTTTATTTTTTTTTTTTGATTTATTTATTATTTGCTTTTTTGACATGACAGTTAAAACAAAATAAAACTGTTAATTGTCCATAAACTTTCCAACCTTGCCTAATTATGATATTTTTTTTAAAGTGCTTAACAATATTTTTGAGTACTTACAAGGTGCATAATTTTTGTTAAATTATTTGGCTACGCACCCTGATTTAGATAATCACTTTTTGACCCACTAAGTTTACGCTGATAGTATCGTAAATCAATGTTATGTTATGATTGTATTTTCAGGAGATATTGATTTTCCCATGGATTTTAAATATCTCTATATATTTCACACGATATGAAAAATTCGAATCGTGCATTTGAGTATTTACTTTTTAAGGTAATGATTCTATCTAATTGCTGGCAGCTATTGATTTCTCAATAGTTTTTAAATCCTATACGAAATATTACAATTATGCATTTGAGAAACCCTTTTTTGAGGAGTCCTATTCGCATGCTTTCTGTCTTTTTTTCGATGGCGGATTACATGATTTTTAATTATTTTTTTATGGTGATGATCATTTACAAAATGCAAAGAAGGAAATAATTCGTACGCCCCCCCCCCTCCCCGCTCTCAACAAAATTCAAGACTTGTAATATTAAAATAAAAAATTATTACATGTTAAAAATATTGTAGTTTATTGGAAACCCAGCGCTTTTGTTATTTTAAATGAGTAACATGAATGTTTGTTTTTATTAAAAGTATCATGCAGACAGTACTGATAGACAGTTTTGTCGCAGATAGCTCAAAAAAATTCTGCCACAGGGACCAAGTTGCTGTTATCAAAGTTTCATGATGTTGATGCACTTCACTATTCATAGATCAGTAAACAATATCTTAGGTCTTTCACTAATTAAATTTTTCGTGTGATTTTCATCACTTTTTCTCTCCCATTTCATTTGATTTTATATATTCAATATCAATTCTATTATTGCAAAGTTTGTACCTGCTATTTAGTCTCTGAGAAAGGGAAGTTCCCCAAAATATCAGAACTATTTTTTGCAAACTAAAATATGGGACATATTGCTAACATTTTAACATGACTGATATTTTTTATCTGATCTTTTTTATCTATCAATTTATGCATATTTATTTATCTGTAGAAATTCTTTTTCTTTTAGCTAATCTGAAAGGTACAGAAGTGAATCTCGATACTGCAACCCTTGCTAAAGTCATATCTAACACAGATCCTCAGTTTTCTAGGATCTTTCATGAAGTATGGACCTTTCCTTGTACTACTATAATCACTGAGTGTTTGCCTTTGACATACAGTTTATCTTATGAATTTAATTAAATTGTTACTTTATACTAGAGCTAGTGAATTTTATTTGTTAAATGAAAAAATTTATTGACCCCAAAAGAAATCTAAATACTAGCTATAATTAAAATGTATGTGTATTTAAAATGGGCGACTGCTGAAGTAAAATGCGGGAAAACAATTTTACTTTAGTCTTCAACTATAAAAATATGTATGTATGCAGAGATGATTGTGCTCCGGAAATCCGAGGTCCCGAAGTTTCAGAAAATCATCGACACTTTTATGTATAAAAATTCTTGAATATTTTATTTAAAAATATTAGAACTACAATTTATACTTGGCTCTCCTTCGTGGTAGAGTAATAAATGTGATGAGAGATAAAAGTAAACTTATTAAAAATTATTAATTTAAATTACACTGCATATAATTTATTTAGAATTTCATGTTTTGAAAATATCAATGGTTCAAATTTATTAAGACGTTAATTTTTTGAAATGCGTCATTAATAATTTTTCTCAGGAAATTTTCAATTGGGTTCACAATCAGCCCTGTATATGGGATCAATCATGAATAATAATATTAAAAGTCAATTTAAAATAAATAAAAACATAGTTTTCTGAGTTCTGCTTTCAAAACCAAGTTTTGTTCTGTATACAATCCAAATGCCTTTTTTAATGAAAAATAAACAAAGGAGGGTGTTCTTAAAATCTGCTATGTAATATTGAATTTTGCAGTTTTTTTTTTACCCCCAGTTAAGAAAAAAAAACATTTCTTGAATTTAAAAAAAAAAAATTTCGTATGTTTGATAGAGAAAATAAATATCTTTAACAAAGAAGGAGAATGCTGTAGTAAATAGCGAAACATTTCCAAAAACTGTACTTCAGAGTGATAATTGTCATTAATGTTGTGCGCAGTTTAAACTTTCCTTCTTTATTTCTATTATAGAAATCCAAAGAACTTATTGATTCTATGATGGTTCACATGTGGACTAAAATGCGAGATGCAACTCTTACAACTCTAATTGAGAATTCAAGATCTGTTCAACAGGTTGAAAATAACCGCCAAGAACTTCAGGCTCTTGAAGATAGTGAGAAACAATTGAAAAGCCGTCTGAATAATGCAGGTAGTTTAAATTTGAATCCAAACAACTCATTTTTTGTATATTTTTTGTTCGCTCATTTGGTGTATACAGGGTATCTGCCCACCTGGAAAGTCATGAGAAATCATGGAAAGTCATGAATTTCAATACTGAACAAAATTTGTCATGATTTTAACTATATTTTTTCTTAAATCATTGAAAGTCATGGATTTAGGTAGCAGAAAAATCTCATTTTTAAAATGGAATTTATCCCCCCCCCATTTCGAGGTGCTCTGAATATCTGAATTTGTAACAAAATCCCCAATCACACTCATATTTTATTAGAATATAAAATGTTTTTATCGTATTCTTTAAAAATTATGGTGTTCCTTTAAATAAAAAAATGAAAGGAAAAGCATCATTTCTACAGCGAATTATCTTTTAAACTTCTGTGATTTCAGAATTTTTGTTATTTATTTTATCAATTTAAAACCCTAGCTGAAAGCAAGCCAGTCATTGGCGAATTTTTTTATTCCGAACTAAAAACGGAAAATTCCAGAGTATTTCTTTCCTTTCCGGTGAATGAAAAAAGTATCTTTAGATTATAATTCTGCAGGAAAAAAAAGGGAAAAAATTATTTGCTTTTGTATTTTTTTTTCCAGATATTTTATTGCTTCAACTCTTTCTTTACTCTGTTTTTTTAAGTTGAAAATCTATCAATATGAAGATGCAGAGTATAACAGTTTTGGTTATACCTATCATTTCAATTAATGTTATTATAATACTTTTTTTAAATTTGATTGTTCTGTTTTTGTTGGTAGAAAATAGTAACTTTGTTAAATTGTGAAAAGTTCTTGGAATTACCCTCTATATAGTTTTATTTATAGTTTAAGTTTTTGGTATCTTAATTCATGCAAAGCTTACTTCCCACCAAATTCATTAATTTTTAAATGTTGATGGAATGTTATTTTTCCTCTCAAAGAAATTCAATGTAAAAAAATAACTAAATAAAGTGAAGGTCTTTATTGACATAAATGACTAACAGTGAAAGGTTTAGAAGAGAAGCCAACATTAGGGGAGCTATTTTCTCCGGTACATAATGTATTCATTCATTTGATCATTTCTCATCAAGTTTATCTTTATTTATAAATTTGGTTATTTATAAACGCAGAAGTTCAAACTTATAACCAATTCTTTACAGTAGGTAAAATTTTAAAAACCAACCCACCAAAAAAAATGCTCTTAAAAAATAAAATTAAATTTAAGTAATAAGCTACCTGAAATTCTTTTTATAAATCCTTCTTGGTCCTAAAAATATTTTATTGTAATGTTAATATTTAAAAAAGAAACGGTCCTATAAAGGGTTAATAGGCAGCTAAAATTGCTTTCTAGATTTAGGAAATAATCCTGACTTCAAATAAATAAATGATAAAACTTCATATTTTATGACAGCACATGTTGAATATGATATTAATCCCCTGGGAAAAGTATTCTCTTGAATCTTTTCTGGCTTAAATGAATTGATTCCCTTAAGATGGCAAAGTGTACTTAAAGTAACCCTTTTTTTGTGCTATAAAAATGGTATTAAAACTATAGTTTTACTACCATCATGTCAGGAAATTTCCTTCCCCTTCTGATCTAGGTCTAAATTGGGGAAGTGGCCTCACAAATGAGATCGCCTGTGCAAAGATTCAGAATTATATTGGCATGACTTTGGATTATCCTCAAGGATGTTTCACAGAGTGTCGCCAATAGCCCATTGTGCTGCTCTAGAGCAACGTAAATAAATTACCTACCTACTAGGGACTAACAAATACCGATTAGGCCGAATAGCAACATTAATTTTTTTTAAAAAAATCATTAATAAATATTTTCTTATAAGTTTAGTCCTCATTGAAAGCTTAGCTTTATTATTGGTGTGGGGTTAAAAAAATACATTTAAGATAAATAAAAAACTAAACTTATGAAGTTGGGAAAAAAAATTCTTAATTCTTAAAACAAAACTTTAATGTTAAAAATAATATTTTCCAAAAAAAAAAATTTATACATAAAACCCTAAGAGGAGTATAGTCTGCCAGATACGCTTTTGAAAATGCTGCGCTATTATAAAAATTACGTAACGGGGTGTCTTTCAACAAAAATAAGCACTTATTTTTTTAGCACTATAAAGACTTTACATGAAAAAATATTAGTTTCTGACAAAGATCTCTTCTTGATTATATTATCCATTATAAAATGATGAATAGATTTTTCGGTTCCATATCAGAAGGTGGAAAATGAAGTCTGAAATTGAGAATATCTTGCAACGAGAGTGAAATAATCTCACTCAACCCAGCTCAATAGTGCATCTGCGGACCCGCAAGTATTTCCTCAAGCAAACAAAATTATTAGCGCTTTTGTTTGCGATGGACCGACAATACACTTAAGTGCAATGTGAAAACATTGAATAGAACAATATGAAAAACACGTTTTACATAATACATGGTCAAAATCAATATGGTAAGGGGAAAAAAACTTCATTTTCGAAAAAGGAAAATTAAGCACTTTTTAAAAATACCCAAGCACAAGGGCTTTTAAAAAACGAAAATCAAAAATAAGCACTTTTTGAAAACGCTACGCACCGTGTTTATCAAAAAATATTTTCCCAAAAAAATACCAGGCCGAATATTATTAAATCTTATCATTTAAAATTTTGGGAATAGTGACCACTGTTAAATTTGCTACAGTAGCAAAATATCCTTATTTTGCGTCATGGTGCATCGGCCGCATTTACTCTCTAAGCAAGCAGACGTTGGGAATCAAACCTTCCACAATAACAGCTCTGTAGAGTCATTGCAGCTCATAATCTAATGTAAAAATGCTCATAATCTTCATTAAACAACTCATATACTAAAAATGCCTTTTTAGCATCTGATCTAACATATATAGCAAATTATATATTTGCTTTGTTTTTAAAAAATTTTTACTATAAAAAATTTTTTCTACAGATTTTCTTGTTCAATGCCTGAAACGAGGTTTCCAGAATCAAGCCAAAGTTATTGAAGAAAGGGACCAAATATTGTCAGAAATGAAAATTAAGTTGGCAAGCATCAAAACTGAAAAGGCTGAAATTTCAGAAAAATGTCTTAATATGGAGAAGGCCTTAAATGCCCCATCTTCAACTTAACTGTTAACAAATTATTTTTGAACTCTCTCAACATTTCTCTAACATTTCTGTTTAACTTTCCTAATATGAAATGTTTAAAAAAAAGAAAAACTGTGATTTAATGTGATATTGTGTGTTTTCATGTTAATGCTATGTTTAAATTACATTACCATGAAATATTGCTAATATGAATGTTTTGTTAACGTACATGGCCATTCATTAGTTTTATATTTCTTCAGATTTTTAACAAAACAAGTAGGTTTTATTTTCCAAAAGTTCCTTATAAATTTATACATGTGTTCACAAATCATATTTTAATGTAAAAATGTGTTGAGTTTAGTTCAATCTAGCTTGAAGCTCAATTTTAGGAACAATCATATATGTATACATAACCTGTTGAATAATTTTCTACCAATATGAATCTAAACCTATTATTTTTAAAGTATGAGCTTATTTATTAGTTATAAACTAAAAATAAAGTGTGTAGAGTAGATTTTTTTTCTTTAAAAAAACTATTCAGTTTGACACACACAAAAGAAAGATCTTTTGAATTTGTAAATCTTTCTTTTTGAATTTGTAAAAAATATATATATACAATGTTCACAAATTTCCCTCACTCCTCAAATTCTAAACGCTTCAAAAAGTGGTTTAAACCTTAAGTTTTAATTATTAAGTAATAAAACCTATATGTTAAAATTTAACGTTATTGTTACAAAATATATTTGTTCACCGTGCATTGTGATTTATGTTAAAAAAATATTTGCTAATATTTTTTATTGTGTTAAGTAATTGTTTTAAATAAATATTTTTTTATTTAAATTGTTTTATAGTTTATTTTGTTGCATGTATCAAAAATATTTCATTAAGAGAATTAAAAGTCATTAAAATATGAATTACAATAACAAATGTGCAGAGAAATATATGTATATCGAATTGTTACATGAATTAATTTCCAGTATTTAGTGTTCCAAAAAGCAGTATGAAGGAGCTGTTGATTTTTGCAGAACGATAGTTTAATGACAAAGTAGATAGTAGAGTAGTGACAAACTAAACACTTACAAACAAAATAACTACACATTTCAAAACCTACATGTTATGTGAACTGAGAATGCGGCACTTCTCTATTAGCTTATCACTTTTATTGTAATAATTTTAACATGTGGAAATATTGAATTATTTGTATTTCATTCACATTCAGTATAATAGAAAAAAAACTGTAAGTAAAAAAGAATGTTTAAAAGTTGTAAAACACGCAGTATCTACTTTTTTTTCCTTCTGGCATTGCCTCTGATTTTGAGGACAAAATTTTCATTTATTCGATGTAGTAGTAGAAAAGTTACAAAAACCACAAAATCTACGTTTCTTTTTTTTTATATAGTTGCCTTTGATTTCGAGTCATGCTATCGTTATAATAGTAGAGAAGAGTGTATTGAGTTTTAAGTTGTAGTATTAAGTTATCATTGAGTTATTTTGTGGGATCAGTATGGATAACTATATTTGTTATTTTCAATTCTGTATTTCTGTCTGATTCCTTTCACAAAATTACTATTCTCGCATGAAAAGTAGGAAATGTTTTGCTGGATAAAAGTGTTTTAAGTTCTTTTTCTAATGGGAAGAAAAACACAGTATAAATGTGTTAAATAAAAAGCTATAACTTTGGACTGGACTTTAGAACAGATAAATAGCTTACATAATATATTAAACTATTTTTTTTTAATAAAAAAGAGAGAGAGTCTAGATTTTTTTAGATGGATAAAAATTGAGAAATAATTTTCAATTTTTGCAAATTCTTTTTGAGCTTAAATAATGCAGCATTGGAGTAACTTTTTTAAATTAAATATTAAAAAATTAATTTAATAGGAGTAAGATTGTGTTCCGAGCGTACCCCGGAATTTCAAGGCTTTAAAAATTAGGGGCAGAGCGTATGATTTTTTGGGAAATATTGCGGAATTCAGTGTTTCTCGAGACCATCGGTTCTCAAACTTTCTACAGGGTGCGTTGTGTTTTTAAAAAGTACTTAAAGGTGCTTATTTTCGTTTTTTAAAAGCCCATCTTCCCTTTTCCAAAACGAGATATTTTTTTTATCGCGTCGGTTTTTGTCACAAATTATGCCAAAAGCGATTTTTTTCACACTATTCTATTCAATGTTTTCACAATTCATTCAACCACTATAATAATATTATTAGGATATGCGCACTAATAAAAAAAAAATTTCTTCCTATTTATGAAAGTTCATATGTGTGTATATATGAACTTTCAAAAAAAAGGAAGAAATAATTATTAGTGCGCATATCTTAATTATATTTGGAGAGATTTTCGTATCATGATCTATGGCAGAATAATTGCCAAGTCGTGGCAACTCCTGGGCAGCAGTCCTCGAGAAACTAAAAAAAAATTATCACAGAAAGGGTCCTATTCGAAAAGTAGCAATCCCCGGTCATACATCTTTTTTTTTTTTAATTGCAAGTTTAAAATCTATTTGTAGTTGGTGCGGCAGATCACGATGCAGAAATATCCCTGTACATTTGTTTTTTTTAAATGAAGAGTTTAAGAACATTCTTAAGAAGGGCTTATTTTTTGTTTAGAAATTAGGCTACGCACGCTGTTCTATATGCAAATTAGAAAATCTATATTTCATAATTGAATCATTTTAAAATAGAAAATGCTCTAAAGTGTGATAATTCACATAGCAATTTTATCTTCAGCAATACTGTTAATAAACTTTATTTCTAGTCTAACTAAAATATTGAATTGTTCAAAAAACAAATCCAATTATTTGCAATACTATTAACCAGTTAAAAGTGTTTAAACAAATGTCTCTTGCCGTGTCAAAAATATCATCAATGGCTCGACAGCCCAGGGTGGGCCTTAATCTTCTCAATAAGTTTTTTTTTCCATTCTAACCTTTTTCCAGCTTTTAGTTTTTAAGACAAAAAGGTCTTTTTCTAGGCCATCTATCCATCTCAAATTCGGCCTGCCTCTTTTTCGTGTGCCAACTGATCTGGCATTGAAAGCTCTTTTTGTGGTACAATCTTCGCCCATTCTGATAACGGGGCCTGCCCATTTTATTCTTTGTCGTTTCATAAAGTTAACGTCAGGTTCATTATATGAGTGATAAAGCTATGGGAAAAATATACTACCAATTATTTCATAACTCGAAAGCTCAATAAAATGAAATATGAATATTTGGTGGTATGTCTCCTTTGTATTTCATTCTTGAATTGCAGAGCCCAAAGTTTTAAGAAGTTTCCAATAACAGTAACCTTTTTAAAATTGGTAATTTTTTGTGTAAAAAAAATGTAGTCCTTCCTTGTTTTTGGTAAAATTTATAAGAAGACTATTTGTCCTTTCCTCGATGGGTTATTATACATCATTGCTTGATTTTAATGCATCTCCCCGTGGGAGATTTTTAAAATTAAAAGTCCCTGCTTAATTGGTTAAGAAAAATTCAAGCAATAATATTTTTCTGAGATTCTGGTTATAAATCTTATTTCATCAACACATAAAAAGCACATTAGATCTTACCTAAAACATAAGATTTGTTTGACATAACCCTGTTGTTTATTTTCTTAAGTGTACATATTCAGTACAAAAACTAACGCACAAATGCCTGTATTGGCCCAATTGATGAGCTATCAAAAAATTTTTAGCACTTAAGTGTACATATTAAAAGCAAATTTTATTAAGTAATTAACAATTATTATAATAATCAATTTTGACAATTATTAACAACACTGAAAAAAAAATTGTTTAGCCATTGAATAATTTATTGATTTTTATTACGTGCAAAAATATATATCCCACAATTAGATCTTATAACCTTCTAACAGTCATTATTAGGTAAACCAACACATAAAGGCAACCTCTTTTAGATCCTCTTCTACTCTTGTTATATTTTAATTTTCACGGTCCAAAAACATTTTTTTTTTTTTTTTTTTTTATTTTTTNTTTTTTTTTTTTTTTTTGTATGCACAAATGAAACAAAAAACAGGTACAACAAAACATTTTTATTCCTACTAAAATGAGATTTTTATAAATAAAAGCAGGTCAAAAATACTTGCATTGTACTTATTCTTTATAAAATAGCCATCACATATTGGGTATACCAACGCAATCATTTTAAATACCAAATTTATAAAATAATATTCCTAGTCAATGAGACCTATTTATCATTAAATAATAATCTTGTAAAATAAAATTAATTTTGTTTCATCTGAATAAAGTCACCAAAATCTAATAATAAACTTAATAGAAGAAAACATTTTTAAATATTATCACAAACCATTAAAATTGTTTAAAATAAGATCGATAAACATTCGTCTAACACTCCAGAGAAGTGCTTAAAATTTTATCCTTCTATCTCTCTTTAATTTTAAAAGCCATTAAGATATATTTTGCAAGGTTTGTGGAACAAATGTTTATGATTCTAAGGTTAAAGAATGAAACTAAACATACTATAATGAAGTAGCGTAACATAAAAATTATAGAAGCAAAACAACTAATGTAAATAAAGTGAGTACATGTAGAATGAAGGCAAGTTCTTAACAAATCAGACAGTTTAACAGAGGGGAAAAAATAATAATAAATAAAAGGAGATATGAGTAGTACACTCATAATTAAAGGTTTATTAACATAATATGTTATTCCTTTTTATTTTTGCACCAGATTTAGTTGCATAAAGACGGTAATCTTATCAAATCTCAAGTAAACCAAATTTCAATGTGTTGGAAAGTTTCTACGTAACATTTTCGTATTTTATTTAATCACAGTTATCATTAATAAAAAAAAAAGGGAGAAGATTTTTTAAAGCGAGTTTCCTGAAAATAAAAACTTATAACATTTTAGGAGCACTAAACAAACACAGAAAACTTCTAATCAAAACTTCTAATTGGTTTCCATTCCAGTCATCTCTGTATAAAAAGGGTAATTAAAAAAATTAATTTTAAATCAGATCAAGAAATATTACGCACAGATAATATATTTTAAAATAAATAATCCAATGCTAGTAAAAAGTCCCATTGTCTGCTGCGCAATAAAAAAAGGCAACATAAGCAACAATTTAAAATGGAGACTTATATATTTTCATCTTTTTGAAAAAAAAAGTTTTTTTTTTTTTGAAATTCTATTTTAGTTTTTGTAGCGCAAGCAATAAGGAAAAAAGGATGTCAAGCTACTTTTCTCAAAACCTAACGTAAAACACTTAAGCTGTTCTTTCATTTGAGGGGCAGTGTTCACTTTTAGCACACTGTTGAATAGATTTATCTTTCCGCCATAAAACTTAACAAAACTAAAATGCAATAAATAAATTTAAGATGCAATACACTAAATAACATAAATAGATAACACATACAGAATAAAATAAAATTAATTTTGTTTCATCTGAATAAAGTCACCAAAATCTAATAATATACTTAATTTAGAATTAAATTATACACAACAGCATATTTTAAACAAAAGTTCAATTTTGTTTTTTGAGAAAGGCAATTAATTCACTCAATTGTGTTTAAAAATCATGCTATACACCAGGGGTGCACAACCTATGGCCTGCGGACTGTTGATTTGCGGTCCGCAGGAGCTTCTGAACGTAATAAAAAATGTCTTTTCATTTGGATTTTTTTGTTAAAACATTATAAATCTCCTTTTATTAAAATATTTAAATCAAATTTATATTACTCTATATAATGTGTATTTCTTTGCCCTTTCATTCTGTAAGCTTCTTTTTGGTTAGAATTTATATCACCCCTCCCAATATTTATGCATAATATATTTGATAAATTAATTATTGTGAAAATTGAAAAAAGTTTTTTAAAAGATGTATCAGTTTTAGTTTTAAATAAATTCAAATTATTAAAAGTATTTAATTTTCTGCAAATATGTTAAGTTTACTGATAAAAATATTTGGTGCTTAGAACAGTAATGTTTATATAATATGAGGTCATATTTGCCGCTAACATGACTAAATCTGCGTGCGGCCCTTCTTTAATCTACGTGCTGTGCGAGTGGCCCTTCACTCAAAAAGTTGTGCACCCCTAGCATACACAAATATAAATATTGGTCTCTACTATTTGATCCTGTGTTAAATAAGAATATGTTTAAAATCACTTTATATTTCATAATTGCGAAATTTTCTTAAGGCTTCATTACAAGGATCTCTTTCCCAACATCCAGTATCTTGACATCTATTTTGGTCACATTTGTTGAAGTCACCTAAATCATAAAATAAAGTTGAAATAAAGAAAGATTATACATATAATATCAGTATGAATATATAGAATCATTTTTACTTTCTGAATCCTTGTCAGAGCTCTCTAACATCAGGTCTTTTTGTTTTTTATATGCCCAATGCATAGACTGAAAAAGACAAATCAATATTTAAATTCAGGAATCTTGACTCTACACTACAATTACTAATACACAAGGATGTGTAGCCAAATCTTTCCACAAAAAATAAGTACTTTTTAAGCAATATATTAACAAAATGCAATTTTTTTTTCTAATGGCAGGCATTGAACTTTTACGTCCTTCGCCTAGGGAGATGCTGGAAGTATTACTCATGTAACATTACCCAGTTGTCCCCTGTGAACCTAAGTCAAGGAGGTGAGCAGCATTTCCCACATCTCACTGCCACAGATACCCGTTTATAGGGTGGGCCACATCAAACTATAGAGAACGACACACATCCATGCCCTGAGCGGGATTCAAACCTGCAGCCATTGGTTTCGCAGTCAGGCAAGATCGACTGTCTGGCCAGCACAAAATGCAAAATAATTTTCAAAAACTTAACATGATCTTGATAAAATAACTAGTTTCTGACAAAGAAAACTTTTCTTGATTATATTAGCCATTATAAAATGATCGAGAGATTTTTGGGTTCGATGAAGTGTGAAATGGAGAATATCTTGCAAAATGCAGCAGACTTGCACATGAAAGAGCAATGATCTCACCGATCCCAGCTCAGTAGACGCACATGCAGACTCGCATCAAACAGGTAAAATGATTGGAGCTTCCATATGCTATGGACCGACGGTATGCCGAAATGGATTGTGGTTGAATGAATTGTGAAAATGTTGAATAGAACAATGTGGAAAGCACACTTTTGCATAACAAGTAGCGAAAATCGACACAGTAAAGAAACAATCTCATTTTTGAAAAGGGAAAATTAAGTATTTTTTAAAAACAGCCATTAAAAAGGTATTTTAAGCAATGAAAATAAGCCCCTTTAAGCACTTTTTAAAAACACCATGCAATAATATGTATGAAATAATGAATGCTTACTGTATGTGCTGATTTACTAATGTTCAGAAACTGTTCAAAAGGCATTGAAATGCCACTTCTTCTCCATTTATCGTAAATTTCCCGTTTTACGGGATCAGTCAAATATTCTTTCGCCTTCAGAATATTCTGAAATTTTGCAACTGAAATCATAAATATTTCAATGAGTAACTTCATTGTGCATCTAAACATTTAAAGAAAAATTTTGATAATACCTGCACAGGAATCATTTGGATTTTTATCAGGATGACATTGCAAAGAGATATTCTTGTATTCAGCTAAAATTTGCTCAGTCTAAATTTCAAAAGAAAAAAACATTAGTATATATACAATGAAAACAAATAAAATTGTTTTGTACCAAAAAAAAACCTGTATTATTTTGTCAATCTGAATCAAAATTGAAAGTAAAAAATTACAGAATACAGCAAAAAATTTAAACGGAATTTTTGTTTAGCACTCTTCGATTCTATTTCAGCATTTTTAGTGAGCTGTATTTTTCTTATGGTTGCATTGATCTTAAAAATGTTATAAAAACACATTCACAAATAAATAAAATAATTCATTTACTAACTGTTTTATAATTAATGGTTTGTTTTTATGTAAAAGAATAATTTAGCAATTTTATACATAAAATAGCACAAAGAAATATACCAGTTATTTAATTATGAAATTATTTTTCAAGAAAAAAATTAATGGTACAAATTTCTGAACTAAAACATTTAGCAAGTCATTATTTCAATATAAGCCCTTCAATGAAAGATCAATATATCATAGCTAATAACAAAATACAGGGTGTTCCAAAATTATCTTTACATCACCTGGCTTGAAATTGATTAGAGACTAGAAGTGCTTAAGGCCACCAATGGGGCGCATGTGGAAGTGTACTAAACAAAACTTTATTAGTTGCAGTAATACATGCAAAAGACAGAATATAAATATCTTGTTTATTTTCGAAGTTATGAATTTTTGAAGTCGTAAAGAGAATTTTGGAACACCCTGTATTTTATTTAAAAATAAAGTATGCAGTGATTTAATAAGATTTTTTTTATATTTCCAATGGTAAAAGAAAATGACAAACTCTTACAAAATCAGTGAACAAAGAGGTGAACAACAAGTAAGAGAAAGAAATCACTATCTCATTAATAGATGTCGGGCACTCCAGTAGCGCCTCACCTCGGAGTCCCTACGCAGAGTCGAGCATCTCTATAGATGGTTCCTGTCCATAAGTTCATTATTCGAGCATAAGGGGCAATTTGGGTCAGCGAGAATGCCGATGCGGCACAGGTGGTTCGCCAGGCAATCATGGCCCACCGCAAGTCTGAATTCTGCAACAGCTTTATTGCGGGGCTTATCGGCAATACCCTGTTCTAAGCTGTGTAAGTAAAACCTTACAAAATTTCAGAGCAAATTTTCAATAGCACTGAGTTTTCATTCATAATATTGAAAGATAAGTTTTAGCAAACATATTTCGGAGTAGATTTTGGATTTTTTCCCCAAGCAAATGAAGTTAGTTTTATATATAGAGAGAGACAGAAATCTGTTATTCATTGAAATGTACTGCTCAGATCAATGAAATCTTTATAAAAATTAATGAAGAGGATATTTCTGTATCTGTTTTGACCAGCTAGTGAACTGGTGACATGTTAAAATAAAAGTGTTCAAATATTACTATTTAAGAGTGAATATTAGTGACAATATATCGGTTGGAATTATTCTATATTATCTAATGGATAGTAATGGAATCCAAACATATCTGTAATATTTCTGTATCATGATATTGAGTCATATATCAGTTTCTAAAAATTTCATTCACAAATTAAATTTTAAAAAATTGAACTTAAAAGAAATTATAACTTAAAGATTATTTTACACACAAAAAGCTTGTTTTTGTGAATTGAGAACTGTCTCAGTTAATAATTTTTCTTAAAGGTCAAAGTTTATAGTAACAGAAATTTTCAATGATAATCAACTTTAATGTTTCTTAAATTATAACAAGAATAGCTTTTTTTTTTTAAGAAGAAAAAGATTTGTTTAGTTTATAACAGTTTTAATAAATCGTAAATGCTGATAATAAAAAATAATTTTTCTTATATAGTAACTTGATGAAAAAGTAAACATATATATTATGTAACACAAGAATAAAACTTTAATTCTGGACGTAAGTATAACAGAGTTACTAACAGTGGAAGTTTCATCACACCCCAATAATTTATAAAAGTCATCTTCATCACATTTTTTGAAACATAAAATTGAATCCATGATAAATTGATATTACTGCATGCAACAAGTTGCCTGATCTGAAATTAGTTTCATAATCATTTTCATTTATAACTTCCACTTTACTGCTACCTATCTATACGGTTCACATATTATCGTTCGTATAAAAATCTGACAAGCATAATGCTAATTGATTGCAGTTCAAGCAGTTTATACCGTGCAAAAAAAAGTAAACGTAACATTTTACGAATTCTAAACAGCTCCACTGGTTTCGGTTTCTTCTTTTTTTTTTCTAATTTCAGTTACAGTTATTTTATTTAAAATATAATTTTAGGAGCTGTTTCAAAGTTAACTGTAACTGAAATTTTACGTCAATATTTTTTTACTTGTTTAGTGTTTACGCAAGTTTTTAAAAATTAAATGTACTTACTATACTTATAAATTAAATATACTACAATATATAAATATACTTTAAAAGTAAAACGTATCAATGTCCAAGCAGCAGTGTGTGATTTAAATATATAAGCTTTTATAAATGTTCTGTTTTCTTGAAAATAGTAAACTGCTTTGCTGATCGTTTAGATCCTAATTTGTTTTTCGTTTTCCTGATTGAAAGAATTGTTATTAAACTGGTCATGACTGCTTGTAAAAAGTTAAAGCGTAATAAAAATATTACGATTGAGGACCTTTATCAGAACAAAAACTTTGTTCCACCAAAAGAACAAAACTTAGAAACTATTTTCGAAGAACCTAAGCAAGCTAAAGATGGTGCACCTATTATGACATCGGTCAGAAAATACAAGCGATATTTGGATTTTGATCCAATAACTGGTAAAGTTCAAAAACCAAAAAAGAAAGGTAAGCGATTTGAGAAGAAAATTAAAGGAAAAACACGATCTGCATCTAAAACCGTACAAAATATCGACATCAGTGCTGTTTTAGAGACTTTAAACGACTCTTCAGATGAAGGTGATATGAACATGACCATCACTACTGCCGCAAAATGTGGCGATGGTGATCACACTGCTAAAGACAGTGCTAATTTGCTTCCAATTGCAGGTAAAATTATAAATAATAATTATAAGAACAATGTGAGTGTGCTTACGATTGATGGTAAAACTATTAATGATATTGATCATAAGGCTAAGAACTGTAGTGGTGAAATTTCTTTTACGAAAACTGTAAATGGTGATCATGAGGCAGTACATCCTATTGATGAAACGATAAATCATGAAGTACTTTGTGAAAAATGTACTTTAACTAAAAACTTATGTTCCTGTGATTTCGTTAGATTAAGCAAAGTAAAAGAGGATAGTCTGAACAAAATGAAACAGAAACAGTCTCATCTTTAAAACATTCTGTTGATGTATAAATTATTAAAATGATAAAAGGTGGGGATATTTCCGTATCTTGATCTGTTGCTTTGACTACAATCGCCGAGGTGCCAAATAGATTTTAAACCTGCGCATCTTTTTTTGAAAAAAGCATGTAGGTGTTTGCCTGGTGATGGATGCCCTTTCTGTGATTTTTTTTTAGTTTCTCACTGGCCGCAGCCCAGAAGTTGCCAAGACTTGGCGATTATTCTGCTGCAGATTACGATATGGAAATCTCCCCAAAATTGTAATCTGTTGAAATCAATACTTGATGAGGTGTCGTAATATTACGTTATTCAATAAAATAATAGTTTTGCGTAATGTGTTGTAACATGTATTGAGTCATCTTTAGTACCTTGTGTTGTTAAATAAATTAATACATAATAGATGTGAGTTTTATGCTGACATTTTAATTTATTGATAAATTTATCAATATTTTGTTATTGTTGGCTGATTTATATATATGTAGCTTTCAATCTGTATTTTTATCTTGTAATAGAATTAGAAGAATGTGAAAAACTTACTTAGACTAACTGAAAGTAATTGCTCTATACATTGTGATCCTTATTTTGGTTTTTCAATTTTATTTTTTCCACGCATTAAGTTTTCGTTATAAAAATAGAGCCAGTAAAACACTTTTTTTTTTTAATTATGCAGTTAAGAGTTGAAAAATTTTATCAGTAGAACCAGAATTACATTCAATATTACAGGAAAATTATCCAGCAAAAAGATACCAAGTTATGCTAAAAATATGAACTAGAATATTTAAAACCTTTACCTTCCTCTTGTTCCAGTTTTAAAAATGCACCCATAATTTTAATGTATCATTTATGATATTTTAACAATTTTTAAACAAAAAGTTTGATTTTCAGCCATATTGCCTTTTGAAAATCAACTATATGTACTTAATTTTTGCATAACAACAATAGATCCTTAATTCTTAAAACACAAATAGCATAGATAGCACAAATAGCTCCATGCTCAACACCCAGCCTTAATGTTATTGTGTAAGCAGCATCTTATCTTTAAAAAAAATATTGAATTATCTATAATCAATCATCTTTTAAAATATGAATTATCTGTATTTTTAAAAAGATCAATAATTATTGTTTATTTGCATGTTTTTAACAAAATTGACTTGCTTTTTACTAGATAATATGTTGTTCATGGTGTTTTGCTTCCAAATTTTATTTATCAATTGCTTCGATTACAATCTTTTTCCATTATTAATATCTTATTTTAAATAATTATTGCTTTTACCTCCTGTATTGTTTTTTAAGAATTTGTGTTTTCAAAAATAAATAATTTCTCCTTAACTCTAACTTGTAATCCAATTTTTGATGTCCGAATTTCAATATTTTAAAAAGAAAAGAGCAGTTTTGTTTAAGAATGAAGTTGATGTACAGTGAAAATTACTGAAACTACCAATGTTTGAGAAAACTATCATATTGTAAAAATTATTTACACATTTGAAATATTGGTGGAAAGTTGGACAGAACAAGATTTGGCAAGAAAGTATATAGTTAGAAACAAAATCCTAAAATTTTCAAAGAATTCTTCACCCTGCTATACCTTGCATGAAACACAGGTTTTTGTTATGTGCTTGACTAAAATTATATTGAACAGTAATTTAATTGTTTACGAAACAGTCACTTTGCTGATTATGTTATTGCACTGTTATAGTTGCAGATCAATTAATTTAGTTTCTCTCATTTTTTTATTTATTTATTTATTTTTTTGTACATTTAGGACTGCTTATGCAACGTAACTGCATTAATTGAACAGTCCTAAGAAACTTAAGTAAGGAAGACATACTTTATAATATAAAAACTTCATAGGCTTCAAAAAAGTATGAAGGCATGGTAAAAGTTGCCATGTTTTGAGCCGTCAAAAATTTGGCGACATTAACAACTTAACAATTTCTGTTTAAATTTTCTTTGTCTCCCTTTTTTATATTTACAATTTTGAGAATGGGATTCCATTTTTGCAATCTCAAAACAGGTAAACTTTTACCACCTACATAATTTTATGAAGCAAATGAAGTTTTTATATTATCAAAGCTTTAAAATTTTTGTCGTCCTGTTATTTATTTTATTTAAAAAGTATTAGCAGTTCTATAAGCACCAAGTTTGTGACTGTCTACAAAATACACTGAATATTTAAGGCTTCTTGTTTGCTTTTTAGAATTTGTTTTATATTTCAGTACATTGCAAGGTATTTTTTCAATATGTTTTAGTTTTCCAATGAAAAGATAGCTTTTTATGTTTTTTTTACTCAGAGTTGGGGCTTTTTACATGACAGACCTAAAAACCATATTTTTGCTGGTTAAAACTGTCAAAAACCTACTTTTTTATGTTAAGGTAAGGCCTGACGCAATTTTTAAAAAGGTGACGAAGGCTTGATTGCATGTTGGGACGTGTCCCACTCTTAATAGAATTTTTAAATAAATTTAAAACATGAATTAAAATCAAAATAAACATTTAATTTGTTTTTACCTCATTTTTTAGTCAAATCTTTTCTTATTCTTTATTATTTGGCGATTTTATTTCTAGAAGCCCAGTGCAAGGAAGCCTTCATGTGAAAGTTGTCAATGATCAAAGAATTAGCATTGTTTCTCACGGATAGGCAAACTGTCGAGTCATGGAGCGTAGCATTTTTAAAAAGTGCTTATTTTCGATTTACTTTTTTTAAAACCCTTAAAGGTGCTTTTTTCTTTGGATGTTTTTAAAAAGTGCTTAATTTTCCCTTTTTGAAAATAAGATTTTTTTCTTAACCATGTCCATTTTCGCTACGTGTTGTGCAAAAGTGTGCTTTCCACATTGTTCTATTCAATGTTTTAACAATTCATTCAACCGCTATCCATAGCGTCCGAAAGTGTCAATCATTTTACACGTTTGATGAAATACTTGCGAGTCACTATGTGGGTCTACTGAGGTTGCTGACTATGCTGGGTTCGATGAGATTATTGCACTCTCATGTGCAACTCTGCTGCATTTTGCAAGATATTCTCAATTTCAGGCTTCATTTTCCGCTCTCTGATATCGAGGAGAAAAATCTCTCAATCATTTTATAATGGCTAATATAATCCAGAAAAGAGCTCTTTGTCAGAAACTAGTTGTTTTATCATGATCATGTAAAGTCTTTGAAAATTATTTTGTTAATGTATATAGCGCTTAAAAATATTTTTGAGTGCTTAAAAGTAGTTAAAAGGTGCTTATTTTTTGTTGAAAGTTTTGGCTACGCACCCCGCAAGTGATTAAAGTTCATAGCCTCTCGAAACACGGGGCGGTCAGGAGAGTTGGAAATATCGATACAGCGAAAGTTATTCTGGAGATAGTCATGTCCATTAATGATAATGCAATTGTTAGGGGATGCCCATGAGGATGGGATTTAAAATAAGACTGGACCACAGTTTTCCTGCAGCACCAGCAGTTTGACGGTAGTGGAAAAATTTGATTATAAGGAAGAGCTAAATGCGGCTTCCGGAAGCAAGCACCCTTATTGGTCTGCCACCTCATTTCCAAATGTTCTCTAATATGGAAATTCACTTATTTTGGAGGATTATTATTATTTATTTATTTTTTACACTTGCAATCTATTTTATTTCTCATATAATGAATGAGGGCAATTATTCACATGATATGAATAATAAACAGTAATGTGGTGGCCGTGATCGTCATTCCAAATTTTTAGTAGTAGTTCAGGTATCATCTTTGTTTGGCCATTACATATACACCTTAATTTGAATGTAATATAATGATAGTTATCTCAAAGAAATGAATAATTTGTTCAAGAAAAATTTATATATTATGTATTGATAATAGCCATAATTCAAAATATAAAAATAAAGAAAAACCTCTTTGAGGGATCAAGATATAAATCATTGTCTTCACATCGAGAACTTTTGTTAGGATTCCATATTCCACGGTTGGGACTGGGAGACCCAAAAAGGCACACCCAGTCACCAAAAATTGGAAACTGAAAGTAAATTAATTGCTCCCAACGGACATGGATGGCGATTTATTAAAAGATAACTTAGCGAAAAATAAAGCCAACCCCCCAAATATAAATTTGAAAATAATTTGACGAAAGTGAATCGCAAAAAAAAACTTTGAGAATTAGTATAAACATGCAACTGAAACATTTTTGTGGTAAGATATAAAGAGTTATAAATAGATTTTTGTTTCTATTTAGTCGCAGCAGTGAATTAATAAGTCTTACACTTGTATAGAAATAAAAAGTTGGCTGTTACATTGATTGTAAGGAAAAGGATAAAATATTTTATATTCGCTTTTTATAAATTGTAATAAAAATTAAATAATTGGTTTAATTTAATTAAAATTAGGCTAGTAATAAATTTAAAAAAATAAGCTAGGAAATATAAAATATTAAAAATCTAGGAAATATATAAGGCCTGTTGGGGCATCACAAGTAACAATTATCATAATAAATCAGTGTTTAGTCATGAGCATAAAAAATTATCTTAATCTTTGCTTTATTTTAATTTTTTTTTAATTGATCATTAATATTTTTATTTTTGAAAACTGGATTACTTGAATCGCTCATTATAATCATTATCACCCTGATAAATGTAGAATTTTTATTATTAAAATAAATTGTTATAATACTTGAAAGAAATCTAATTTGCATAATTATGTTTATTTATTTACTTTTTTTTTTCCAAATAAAAAGTAGTTTATATTTTCATTTAATATAAATTTTTTTAATAAACCCGACATGTTTTTCTTTTTCGATTTAGTCTGGGAAAAATGTCTTTGAAATAGGGGATTTTGCATATTTTTAAAGGAATATTTAAGGAACATTCTGATTTGCAAATGTTATTAATGCAGAGATTAGTTTATGATTCGAATTTTGATACTTGAATTAGTTATTTCCTATCAAAATTGACGATTTTTTTCTTTCTTCAAAATGAAACAAATTATTTAATTATATTTCTGTCCAACGATTAAAAAAAGAAAATCGAAATTTCTACAACTCTCGGAACTGTATATTTAAAACAAATATGTATAAAGGCTTTAAAATTTATTAACTCCGGTACTTATTTGAAATTTTAAAAAATCGTAAGTTTTTGTTTTTTTAATTCATAGTCTATTAAAAAAACTGTAAGTTTACAAATAGTTTTAGTTTTCCTTTGCATCGAAAAAATTTAATTCGAATTTAACCATTTAATTGCTTCAAAACTTATTTGAATTACATGATTGCAAACACATATAACTCAAAAACTAATAACCCCATTGATAACATTTTGTCATCAGAATATCTTAAAAGAGATTAAAAAATCCACATTCACATAGTTTGATCAATTTATCTTTGAGTTTTGAGAAACGTGATCGGCAAAAATTTCCTGAAGCCGGCGATGAAGAAGCTAGTTTTTTTTTTTTTTTTTCGAGTTACATCACAGTGACGTGGATCATTTTGCCTAGGCTGGATATAATCACGTGATATCGTACTATGACGTTCTCAATGCTCTCTAGCGGTGCTTTCGATCACTTGCCTTGCAGTGCAAGTTTCGAAGTCGAAGCTTGATGTTCGTTTATCGCTTGCGTTATTTGTCTGCTTGTATGTTCTAAAGTAGTTGGTGTTTTGAATGTTAAATTAAATTATTTTCTAACTGCTTTAGCCGGTATTATTTAGAAATAAAGGAAATTCTAGCATTGCTCTCAAATGGAGGTAATGTTTAGTTCTCTATGCATGTTGAATGTTTACTTGTTATTCATTTTATGTTTATTTGGTTAAAATGAACAATTTGAACAAAAAAATAATATTCATTTAAACACATTTTTTTAATTTAATGTTCTAGAATATAAATCGTATCTTTGTTCTTTTAAATAGAATGCTTCACCTTGACGCTTTATTTTCTCGCTTCGCTTTAATTACTCCATAATACATCCTCAATTAATTATCCTACCTAGAACTTTCCTTAAGATGATTGAGGAATAAGATAAGATGAACAATCCGAATTTTAATGCTAGTTGCTCTTATTTATATTTGTGATGAAATAGTTCAGTTTGTCTTATTTGTTTTAATTGCTTTCTATTATCTGCTTTTCTTATTATTTCACGAGAAATAAGGTCGATGTTTAGTACTAAAACTTTTCAAACGCAAGAGGTTATATATTGTTTATTCAACATTGTTTTGCTAGTTTTTATTTCATTGGTCAGATACTTTTTTTATTTCTTCATTCTGTTAAATTAGATAAATTGTATGTAGTTTCTTTCCACAATAACAAGGTTAAATACATATTTAATTGTAAATAGTAATTAAACATGCTCATTAATATTTTTATTTTATTGAGAATATATTTTTAAGCTGTTAAGTTTATTTTACCCTAAAAAAGCGTTTAGGCATAATTTTTTTTATTTTTTCAATTCTAAGCATAAGCACAAATTAGATTGAAAATTCCATTAAAGTATAGCTTTGGTTTAAAGAAGAACTATAACATAAATGGATGATTACCCAATATTTTAAAATTAAAACTGAAGGAATTTGATTTTTTTAAAAACATAATTAAAATTGTAATGATTTTTTTATATTTTTAAATAATGCTTTGTTTTCGTCAAAACAATAAAATCATCAATATAATAAATTCATTAAAAATCACACTGCAAATAATTAGATTTTATGACAATTGCAAATTAAATAGCAATCAAAAGATATATTTTTTGGATAGATTATTTACCGTTCAATACAAAAATTGATCCGCTTTATATGTTTAAGTAAATATATGATAATAGAAATATGTACATAATAATTGCATACAAAACTGGACTAAATAGTGACAATAATGCATTATTGTCACTGTAAAATAAATTAGAGGAAGTTGATGCTTTATTTGAAAAATATCTGGAAATAATTAATTTGCTAACAGTGAAAAAAGGGCAAAGAGTAATATAGACCAGAATACATTCTGGCCTATTTTATAAAATCAAATTATGAAAAATCCTCTTTGCAGCACAATGGAGAAAATTAGAGATAAAGAAGAAAAAATTAAACAGATTTGAATTATAAATTTTTAGAAGTTCAGTGCAGAAAAAAAAATAATAAATGAGACTGTTAACTTTTCATCCAATGATTAGATCTTCACGTTCTGGGACTCATTCTTAATTGTTCAAAGTGTGACTTAAAATATGCTAATTAAAATGTGCTGGGGCGATATTTTAAGTTACAAAATCAGACCATAAAACCTACTTTTTCTGAATAAACCTGTCATTTTTTTTCGACGGATTCGGATTTCTAAATCCTAAAATATGGGGGTAGCTGCAATCTGAGAAATAGTTTGAGAGCTTTTTAAGCGAATTTCTGTTAGTTGTCTATATGTTTATAATTGTGTAAATTGTCTGAAAATAACTTTTAGTAAATATTATTTTATTTAATAATAGTCTGAAAAAAATTTGAATTGTAAGGTATACATTTATTACATAGTTTAAAAAAACGAAGATAATTTAACATGGAAAAATAAAATTTGGGCGAAATTGATCGAATAATTCCTAGGAAGTCAAATTTTAAATACTGTCAAACCTTAGTATAGTGAACCTTCAAGGGACCAAAATTTCGGTTCAATATAACCGATATGCGTTCCGCAAACAATTTCAATTAATGGTTCCGAAATCGTTTTTATTATACATTATTTAAATAAATGACCAATAAAATGAAATACAAAAATGACTAAAAAATAGTACGTAGTAACAAAAAATGTGTTAACTTGCTTTTATTTTATTACTCTTCGTCTTGTGTACAAAAAAAAAAAATTAGTAATCTTTAGCTGATGCAGAGAAAAATTCGTCCATACATCTGCCTGGGTAGGCCTTTCTTTAGGGATGGAAAAGTGTGATAAAAGAAGCAAACAAGAAAAAATGCTTATCGCTACTTTCCACTCTATATATGGTTGTAAAAATCAGTATAAGTATTTATTTTGAAGTAGTCTTTTGAAAATTAGTTTTAAAAAATCAGTCAAAGGCAGAAAAAAGTTCATACCAAACGTCCTCACTTTTAGTTTACTATATTCACAAAAAATTACATTATACATGTATAGCAAGGCACAGGAACGAACATTTCGTTCACTATATCCGGGACAACCACTATATACAACTATTGTACAAGGAGTTTGACTGTATACAACTTTTTTAAAATTCCATTTCTCAGGATTCCAAACTCTGTATTCAATCTATATGAATTTAGACGAGTTTACCATAACAAGTTCTTTTTTTCTCCAAAAAAAACCTTTTTAAAACTAATTAAATTTAATTAATTTTAAAAGTTGTTTTTAAGAAAAAAGAAAAACATGAATCGTAATATTTGGGGAAAATAGGTGTAGGGCTTTTTGTGTCTTTATGAAATACATTGTAAGAATGTGTATGCTTCATAATTAAACAAGCTCTAATTTTTCTGTACATAAGATGCTTATTGTTTTTTTTATATTCTTCTAATATAGATAATTATTTAATGAAAAAACATTACTGTCACTTAAACGATACTTTTTTTTAGAAACTAAGCTGTTATAATGGTTGGTTATAAACTTTTTTTTAAGAAATTGGTTTTGTTTTATTTCCATGTGAAGTTTTCCATATAGTTATCTGTGGCTATGTCTCGACATCTTCCTTGCAGTGGCCCACAATAAGCTGCAATCAAGCAAACCCCGTGTTTATTTATTTTTATTTTTTTCTAAAAAAACTATTTTCAGGTTTAAAATCCATTTGTAGATGGTAATTGGTCTAACAGATCTGGATACGGAAAAATCCCCTTTATATTTACCTCTGCATGTCTAAGATGTGTGCTTATTTATATCAGCATTTTTATTTTTATTTTGGTATACATTAAATTGCAACTTTTCCACAGCACACATGTGATATTTATTGTAGTCAAACAATACATTGTCCAGCAATACTTAAAGTTTCCACAATTGATGTAAATAGTAACTTTCTGAAATACTATTCAAATACTTCTGTAATAGGTAAAAAAGTTAAATTTTAAATTTAAATCACCTGTTCTTAGTTCATTTGTCAAGAGATTTGCATTTGAGCAGACCTTAGGTAAAATAAAACCGATCGGATAAATTTTTTAATTTCTCAAAATAAAGTAAGTTGCAGTTTTGATAAATTCATAGAAATTATTACTTTTAAAGTTATACACTTTTATAAAAATAGTACTCATATACAAATTATATTATAATTATCTGTCTCCAAATATAAAAAATTTATCCCATTTTAATAAATTTGCCAATTTATCTGCTTTTTAAGGAATATGGGCGGAGTCAGTGAGCCACTAAACTCACCCTTGCATTTAAGGTGCATAAGTAAATGAATTTGTGTTATATTTTTGTATGTCTTGTAAACTACCTCATTAAGTTCTTATTAAGGAAGCAGGAAAACTGTTAAGTCTTGTGCAATCTTAGAGACCTTTTAGTTCAATACATTTCTATTGAATAAAAAAAAGGAAAAAAAAGTGACTACTTTTACTGTCTTATCTGTGCTACTAATTTTCTTTGCAAAGTACTTCCTGTTAATTTAACTTTCAACCAGAACAAAATTCACTGTCAGCTTCTTCCTCAGAAAATTTTTAAAGAAACTAATTTTCATAAACATATACTAAAATATTAATTTATAATTTTTTGAGATTATTTTATCTATGTACTAATTGTGATTCATTCGTTAACTAAAATTATGATACTCAGCAAATTTATATAGGGGAAACTAGGGTTATTTAACCCACTTTTCAGTTCTTATTTTTATCTCTTGTCGAAAAATTGACGTAGTACGTAGTTTGATTCTAGTTCACTTTTCCTATTCTTGACCCTCTACAATCCCGAAAAAAATTGCTACTGTGTCATTTCCTTGAGTATAACCTTGGGCTTTGACTATATCAATTTGTTATATAGTCAAAGCCCAATATGTTAGAAATGATTCATTTCTAACATATAGCTTTATTTGAACAAAAAAAAATAGTTTATTGCTCACAATCAATAGTAAAATGCATTGAATAGATTAATCAAATTTATGATAATCTAAGTTTTTATACTCCCTTTTATAAAGATAATCTGGAGCAAGTTTTCAATTTTTTTTTCTTTAAATATTTTTATGTAATATACTTGAATTTTATTAAAAAATCCTTCAATTTCCTTAGTTTTTGGCATGTTTTGGTTTATAGGAGTTCGTTATACTTCTATGGCTTTATGAAATTTAATGAAGCTATTTTAAAAAACAATTATAAAAATTTCTTATGTTGACTCTATAGTCATTTTTCTTCAGGACAAAAATTTATTGGGAACCCTATACTAACTGCTTTCAGGGAAGTTAATGAGTTCACATAGTGACAACTTGGGATTCTTAACTGTTTTAAATCATCTTTTGTGAAGACAATGATTTTGAAAAACTGATATTTCACATTTCTTATCTAACAGGTTTTTAATTTCTCCTCAGGTCGAAATACTTCAGAGTGGATCTGGGAAGGTTGTTGCACACCTGTCAGATGTAAGTTTGTTTTACATCTACCTCATTGTTCAGTCAATCTTTATCATCACATCTATTCTTTATTTCAGAGCAGCTAGCTGATGGATTGGATTAAATTATTCAATTCCTACACACTCTCCCCTATGTCTTGTACAAATTTTCAATCTTTATTAAAATACTTTTTATTTATCTACTCAAGTTGAAATACATTTTTTGAAACTTGTAGTGGATGACACTTGTTGTTAATGCAGTTTTTTTCTTCTTCAAATATTAATTCATTCATTAAATAGGGATGAGCAAAAAAACAAAATTGAATTTTCTGATGGGTTAAGTGTTAGTCATTGTTTTAAATTTTGTACTATAAGCGATTCAGTTTTTCCCATATTTTAAACATAACATCAGTGATCATTTCTGACATATAGCTCTATTTGAACAAAAAAGTAGTTTATTGCACACAGTCAGATAAATTCAATAAAGAACATTACTTGGTAACATGTGTGGTCCACGTCGCCAAATTTATACTTTTATAGTTGTCTGATATTTTTTCCGTCTTTTTTTTTTGTTTTTTTGGTTCAATTCCTACTGTTAGTCCACACTCTCTGTGTACATATATTTATATATCTTGTTCAAATTTTCGATCATTCATAATATACTTTTTTTTAATCCATTCAAGTTCAAATACATTTTTTGAAATTGTAGTGGATGGCACTTGATGTTAATGCAGTTTTTTTCCACATATTAATTCATTCATTAAATGTAATGAATTAATTTTAGTTTTATATGGGCGAAAAAATTTTAATTATTTAATAAAAAGTAACTAAAATAAAATTTTTCTTTGTTGACCTGAGTAGGAATTGACTTTTTATATTACTTGTTTTATCTTCAGCTTGCCTTTAATGGAGCCATCAGCTTTCATATTTTTTGTTTATAAAGCCTCCTCTTATTTTTCATTTATAATTAAGGATATACTTTTCAGACAAAAAAAATATATTCTTTTTCTTCCATGTTAACATACTGAGTATTAAAGGAATGCAACATCTCTATTTTAAGTAATTTATTAATATTTTTTTTCTGTTGAAATGTTTTCTTTTGAACTTAGTCATCATATTTGAAATTGTAAGGTTTTAAGTATTATTAAGACTTTGTCAAAGTTCCAAAAATCCTTAAATTTTGGTAATTTGGTTCAGGGGTGAAGAATATGTTTGTATTCGAGAACAAGGTTTTAGGGAAATTCAGGCATGGAGAAATTTTTGGTCTAATTAAAATCAGACTGCTTGACTTCCTAACTATTGTTAAATCATGTTGCTAAATTAAAAATGTAGTTTTAGGGCACATAAGGCAGAAAGATGAAAAAGTAAGTCATCAATTCAGTATTAAAATCTACATTTTTAAAGTTTATTATTTAGTTCCTTTAGTCATGTCGACTTATTGTCGTAAAAAATATATTCTGTTTTGTAAAATGTGATACAAGTAACTTTATGTGCCAATTTGTTTTAGTTTGAACTTATGAGTGTGACCTTAAATTTTGTTTTCTAAGTTATTACTATATCGCTATATTAATTTATGTTTTTAAAGCAAATGCTTGTTCATTCTAGAATTGTGTAAAATCAAAGGAATTTTTTTCTTTGTTAAGAGTAAAATTTACTTTTTAAAAATATTTTGAAGAAGAAAAATTGTAACTTGAGAAGGAAAAAAAGCATTAGTTTTGAGGGAAATTTCAAATATTAAAAAAAAAACTGTTCTGGGGAAGTATTAGGCTCTAAGAATTTTCTGCACCTATGGCTAAGTTAAATAAAACTGAATTTGCTGATTGAAATGAAACAAAAAGAAAAATAATTAATTAGTTTCTTATTAAATAAGTGAATTTCATACATCCTTGTAGAATTTAGGCAATAAAATACCTCTTCTGCAGGAGCATGATTAAATTGTTGAATTATCTACCACCTATATGATTTTCAGATAAAAAATTGATACTTAAATTTCCTTTATAAAGTACAAAAATGTAATAGATCTTTGTAAATGATTAAAAAAAAGTATCTTAGAAAAACAGAAGAAAGTTTGACAATTTTGCTAATTACATTGATTAGTTAGCATCTAGATATGTGATTTTTAAGTGTTTTTACTAAATATGAAAATTTTTGAGAAAAAATAGTAAAAACAAAAGAAAGTATTTATTTTTCAATTTTTATCTTCATTGTTGCAAATTTTATTTTAAAACTAAAATATCCATTGATTTTGAGTTTTTCTTAAACATTCATTAGGGTGAGCTATTGCCCACCTGGCACACACTGTAGACTTGCTTGTGACCTTAACTGCAGCAATGTTTGCTTTTTTTCTAATATCATAAATAATGAGTATTAGTTTTAGTTTTATTTTTTAAATTTCTATGGCTTTATTCCTTCCTTTTTATATCAAATAGAATGTGCTATGTTTTTAATTGTAACTTCTTTTTTTTCTTTTTTTTTCTTTTTCATTATAGCTTTCACCTGCATCTACAGTCTATGATGTTAAGAAGGAAATTCATAAACTAAGTAATTTTTTTTTAAGAAAACAAATATTTTTAAAAAAAAGTTGTTCATAAATTTATATTTGTGCTCTCATTTTTATCTTTTTCAATTAGTTCCAATTCTAACTCTGATACAGTAAAAGATCTATATAATATAATTATTTAAACTGCAATTCTCTATAAACCACATTAACTTTCAGGGTAAATAATGAAAATCACACTGAATCTTCTGAAATAAATGAGCAAAAACCATAAACTATTCACAGGCTATAAAAAGAAAAACAATTTTCTTAGAGTTTACAATCTTTGAAGCAAACCAAAATTGATTTTTGAAAAAAAAAATTTTGTTCGTAAATATAATGCTTTTGATATTTTTTTTCTATCCTGTAAACAATAAGTAAGTTAGATCAATGTTTAAATGTTTTAAAAATTATTTTAAAATATTTAAATATGTATTGAATTGTTCCCAATATATGTATTGTGATGTTTAATACATAAATTTAATGATATTTGAAATTATCTATACAATATAAAATTCTGTATGAAGCATTTGTTTCAGATATATTCTATATAATCTATATTTCTCACACTTCAAAGTATTTCATTTTATAACCGTCTTCGAACAGCTGACCCGATTTTTTAGTTTACTACGACTGATGTTCAACGTCATAGCCTTGTCATTTTGAACCCAATCCAGAAGACAAGGGAACTCGTGGATCAAGTATTGGGAGAAATTTGCTTTCGGGGAGTACTTTTGGAGGAACTAACCCACATTTGTGTTACATAGAGAGGAAGACCAAGAGAACCTCCCACAGTTGACTTGATGACAAGAAGACTCTAGCCCATGATCCGTCTACCACTGAGGATTTTTCCCATCAGCACTGTGGTTGTTGCAAGCCGGATGCTGAATTCGTATCGACCAGCCATCGCCATGATTTAAACCTGGTTTACCTCATTGTAAGGCGAACGCTCTATCCCCTGAGCCATTGCGGATTACTAACTTCAAAGTATTGCCTTATAAAGATCTTTTATTGTATAAATAATTGTTTTTAAAGCCATTTCAAATGTATATGCTACTAACACAGTTTGAAATCCGGCACTCTGTATGAAGCCTAAAACTAGGCAACACTGTATGAAGTGATTCATATTTCGCACATTTCCTAGACATTCTATAGAATGTCAAATGAGAAACCGGCAATGCATATCCCCGAATATATTTCTTACTTTGTAATGAAATGTAATTCAAATTGACAATCAAGCCTACAAACCTACCATGTTGCAAAGTTCTCCTTAGGAATAAAAAAATGGCAAGGTGCTTTCTCACAGAAAAGGCACTCACTTAACACAAAAAAAAATTATCAAAACGTGTAATATAATGTAATAACTGAATTTGGTTTTCAACAATTTTTAAATTGCCTTCCTATACTATTTTATGTGTGTATTTCAAAAAATACTCATTCATTATCAAAATAAGAGAAAAATTTGTGGTTCATAAAGTGTGTGAAAAAAGAATTAAAAGGATTAAGAATTAATAAAAAGGAAAGGAGATTAATAAAAAGGAAAAGAATGAAGAATTAATTCATTAATATATGTTTCCTTTAATAAGAAAGGCATGAATTTTGTTTCGTACAACTTGAATTTTTCTTTACATATTTTAGATAAATTTTTGGCACTCTCCATATTTTTTTCAGAATAACTCTTATATTTATCAGGACCTTCTTTGCCCAAATAGCATTTATCATTCTATAGGCATTGTATGTACAAGGAGTGATCAAATGAAAAGGTACGAAACGACACGGTGGGTACAAATGTAGACTTTTTTCAAAAGATACACCATAGGCCTGAGCACAGCGATCCCACTGATGAACAAGCCGCAGGATTAATTGTTCCCAGAATTCCTGTGGTCGTGACGAGACCCAGTCCTTCACAGCGTCCTTGAGTATGTCGTCCGAGTTGAAGAGTTTCCCTTTCAGGTGTTTCTTCAGTGAACCAAACACATGAAAATCTCAGGGCGACTAGTCCGGATTGTAGGGCGGATGGTCCAACGTCTCCCACTTGAACTTGGCCAGTTCCATGTGTGCGAGTCTGGAGACGTGTGAACACGCGTTATCATGGAGCAGAACCACACCCTCCGTGAGCAGCCCCGGTCTTTTGTTCTTGATGGACTTGTGTAGACGTCAGTGTCTCACAGTACACATCGGAGTTAATGGTTTTTCTGTGCTCGAGGAAATTGGATAACACCTCGCTGCTCCTCAATCGTCGAATTTTGCAACGCGAACGCCATCCAGTCCTCATACGAACTGCCGCATCATTTGGACGCCGCTTTTGATAAGAGCCTCTGCTCTCTCCTGCTCATGCGGGCGCCCGCGCATGCTCCGATCCCAGTCAGAGACTCCAATCGCATCCCGACGTGTCTCGCTACGTTATCCCATAGCGGAATATGCAAATGTTTAACAGTTACGTTTTTACGTCGTTTCGTACCTTTTCATTTGATCTCCCCTTGTATTATATAAAGTGCCTTTTTAATCCAAGGAAATGTGTTTATTGCAATAGTTTTTCTCACTTAATATTGCAGTAGTTTTTTCAAAAGTTAGCAAAAAGAATTATTTAATTTTTGATTAATTGTCATAAATTTAAAGTATTTTTTATTGTGTATTATATAAATAACTCAATTTTTAAATGCAGATAATTTTTTAAATATTTTTAGAGAAAAAACTTCATCCATCAAGGCAGGCTTTGAAATTGGATCAACGTAAGTCATTCCTTTATCATTGTATAAAGATGTAGCTACATAAAGTCTCTTATATAATTTGTTACAATTGAATATAATGTATATTAAGTTTTTCCCTCAAACATGTAAATATTTATATTTTCTTAGAATGAAAACTGATGCTTGGAATGTAAACTTTATTATTTTATTATTTGCTTTTTTTTAAAATTGATTTATTTTATTTTATATTCAAAGATCATTACATTTCTGTGTAAACATTGACAGACTATATTAATGATAATTAGATAAGAATAAATTGACATGCCATCAGAGTTGGCAGGTTTTATTCAGTTTTAACCATGGTTGTATCCGTCATGTCAAAAAACCCTTTTTGACCTAGTTTTTAACAAGTGTCAGAAACCCAAAATTTTGGTGTAAGGATAATTACTAGCTATTATGAATAAGAAGTATTTATAAATAAACATACTTATAAAATTACAAGTTATGAATCAATTACGTTCTAGAATTATTTTGTCATCAAACTCTCTTTTGTGTTGACAATTACCATCAAAAACTATTATTTTGATGCAGAAAATATTAAATTATTAATATTAAAACTAAAAAAAAGCATTCAACTTAATAAAAAAAATACTCAACAATCATTTTATTCATAAAATGTAAAATCAATTTTCATTTAGTCCCATTTTAACCTCTCTTTTCCATAAAGCATGCAATCACAAAAAAAAGCTTTTTGTGCACAAAGTTTATTCTTCAGTTTTGTATGAATAAGATCGAAATTCAAAACTGTTTTTTTCGATTGATGTTTCATAAATTAGAATGCAGAGGTATTAAAACTATACTAATATAATAAAATAACATATAACTGAGAATTTTTTTTTCTGTGCTAAATATTATTGATAATTTAATTAAACCCTCAAATTGATTGATTGAACTCTATTAAGCATTTATATCTTTTTGTAAATTATGATTACTTTACTAATCAAGGAATATAAAGATTTATTGAAAATAATCAAGTAGGAGTGCAGAAAATTCTTAGAACCTAATTCCCTATGAACAAAGTTACTTTTTGGATCAAAATTTCCTCAAACATTTTAGTTGTTTTTTTTAGTGCAATAACATTTTCAAAATAATTTTAGAAAAATTAAGTTTTTGAACAAGAAAAAAAAATTCATTTGATTTTTACATGAACTGAATAAGTTAGCATATATGTGTCACTAACTAATAAATACGCAAATTGGCCTATGTTTTTTTAATAAGAAAAAGTTTGCAGAGCAACAAATTTTTATCAAGTAATTCTGTAGGAATATTTTTTAGACAAAAAATTTCCCCATTGCTGCCTGACTTTTTTCCAAAGCCTTGTTCATGTACATGGTCAGACATATTCTGCTCCTCTGAATATAATTATAATAACAAATACTGAGAACCAATAAAAAAAATTATATTTTAAGATTAGACAATTATTGGTGAACTTGATTATTTTAACTTAATCCAAGATATCTGTCTAAATTGTAATATAAACGAAATAAAATTAATATTTAGATTGATAAATAATAGATTGACAATGTTTTTTGCAGTGAGGAAAGTGGTACTCTCCATAAATCATTACTTACCATCCACTGCCCTCACTTCCAAAAATTAGAGAGTAATAAAAATATAAATATATATTTACTTGAAATATTTTAATAAAAATAAACATGGATATGAATATTATATTATTTTCATAATAAAATATTCATATAGAGTTAAAACTAAAATATTTTAAATATTGAACTCATTGTTGTATCTCTCCCATATAGGTTAGTTTAGTTAGACAAATTCCAGTAGTAGTAGTTTTTTCAATTATTAATCTCCTAATATCTCATAAATTATTGTTTAACGAGCTTTTATATTCTGCATGTGGTGTATTTAATATTAATTGTTTTACNTAAAAAATATATAAATTTTATGTATTAATTAAATTTCACATATGAATATAGGTTTTTGACGTGACGGTTTAAACCGTCAAAAACTGTCACATGTCAAAAACCTGCCAACCCTGTTTTAAATATTGAACTCTTGTTGTATCTCTCCCATATAGGTTAGTTTAGATAGATAAATTCCAGTAGTAGTAGTTTTTTCAATTATTAATCTCCTAATATCTCATAAATCATTGTTTAACGAGCTTTTATATTCTGCATGTGGTGCATTTAATATTAATTGTTTTACTAAGTGAAGCAATGCAATTTCTCTTTTAGGTGGTAAATTTTTGAATGATGGGTTAACTTTAGATTCCGTTGAATTCAAGGGCCAAAAACAACTTTATTTGAAAGACCTTGGACCACAGATTGGTTGGAAAACAGTAATTACTTAAGATTTCATTTATAACTATTTAATTAATAAACTATTTCATCATAACTACATGATTAATTTTGAAAACTTAGAGTTTCAGTTACGTATTGTTTTTCCATCCATTTTAACATTGCTTTTTGAAATCCTGATATTTTTAATATGTTATTACAACGAGCAACATTTTCAAAATACGAGAATTACACTAATTTTAAAACCGGTTTATTCAGTGCTCTATTTTATTTACAGAATTACTTTTAAGTTAAACTTATCCGTTTGAAAATAAGATTTTTTTTTTAATTTTAAAATTATAGACTTTGTATATTTTGGGTATGAGCAATGCAAATTTGTGACAGATGTTCTTTTTCAGGGGGATGTAATGCTGTTAAAATCTAGAATGAAACCTGCCTTATTTTCAAATACATGATGTTTATCTTATAATATTAAACTTTTCGTCAATATTTTTGAATTTGCTCTGATTATATATTTTTTAAATAAAATTCAATATTAAATATTATGTGCGCGATGGAGGAAAAATCGTGGATTTGCAGGAAATATGAGTGTCTTCTCACTGGACACCCTTAAAAGAAACCAAAGTGGCGGGTCAAGTTCTACTGTCTTAATTTAGAATTAGATAATTTACCTTAACAGTTAATTAGGATTCCATGTTAATGTTTGACGTTAAATTGTTATGCTTAGTTGCTGGAATGGGTAATGTGTTAAATATAATGTAGTGTGAGACGAATTATAGGACAATTTAGGAACAACATATTTCATCACAAGAATCATTTTTTAATAACGTTGTCTATTTTTCGTGGAAATAAATATGTATAGAAGAATTAATATCATAGCAAGTGAAAAACGTAAATGATTTATCACCAATCATTCCAGTTAGTTAAATCATTTAAAAACTTTTTACCTCATAGAGTTATAAAAGTTTTTCTGATAGGTCTTCCTGCTTGAATATGCTGGTCCTCTTGTATTATATGTCCTTACTTACTGCCGGCCAGCCATTTTGTATGGAGCAGATGCATCAAAGAAAATGCACCCAGTTATTCAGTAAGTATATGTCAACTGTTTTATCAATTCATGAGGCCATAAATTATGTATGATTGACAAAATCTCACTGAGGTACTTCAAAGTCAAAAGTTTACTTAAGACTAAAGCAAACATCCTAATGAAAAAAATTTGTTTTACTTCTTTACAAATATGGCATTGCACATATTCTTTTGCAGTTAAAAAAATTCACTTTTTTTCCATCAAAATATATGCAAAACCAGAGTTGGGCAAAAATATAATCGATTGCATTTATCAATTACTTATAATCATGATTAAAATAATTGATTACTGCAGTTAATTGTAATAGTGATTCCAACGATTATGGGTAATTATGAGTACAAGTAATCAAAATATATTATTACAAGTAATTGTGATAACTTGTAATCGAAATATAGAATTACAAGTAATTAAGATTGCATACTATGTAAATATATTATGAAGTATGTGTGGGGGAAACATAATTTTATGTGTGTAGAATGTACGTACGCATGTACACATGATTTGGGATTTCTATATATATATATATAATGCATGTACAAACGTTGTTTGCACGTACAATATACATAAAATTACTTTAAATTGAAATAGAACGATAATTTAATTTAAAATGAAATAGAACAATTAAAGCTGACCACTGAATTTAAATATCATTTGATTTTGTCACTTAACTTGCTTCTGTCATTATCAAGGATCTTTACATTTAAACTACGTTTTATTTATTGTGTTGTACATATATTTAGACGTGCATATATGGTACATACATTTATACAGTGTACATGCATATTTAGTCAGGGGTCTGTCTAGGTTTTTCTGAGAGGTACTTATTTTGTGAATATTTAGACATAATTTGTGAAAATTAAAAATTATATTAAAAAATCAACACAAAAATATGGATTTATCGTTTCTTATGAGACACAAAAATAAAATTTTAAGAAAAAGTATTTTGTGTAACTACTATTTTTCCTAAAGTTGAATTTGTGAAAGTACCGCTAAACGGTAGTAAATTTGGCTTGGACAGATCCCTGATAGTACATATGTCATACCTGTATAGTACATATATTCATGCATTCATTAGACATAAATAGTTATTAAATCCATTGAACAAACATGTATGTACACATATACAAATTACGTATGTTCACATACAAATTTACAAAAGATTTATGTCCAATGTGCATGTTTGCTCATATGTACTATATATGTATGTACATATGTGCATCTGTATAATATAACATATCTAATTTATGTATGTAGAATATATGTACGTCTGTTGTACACAAATATATTACGCATATGTGGATACATATATTATACATATTTATTCATAAATAAATTGTACATGCATAGGATATAAATATATTGTATATACATGCATGGTTGATACACTTACATGCAATGCATGTATGTTCGTACAAAAAGTAACAAGTACATTGTATATGCATGCGTACACAAACACAGACATGCTCAAGTATCAACATAAGATGTATACGTTCATTGCGCACCAAGGTATATGTCTGCAGTGTTGTAAATACATAAGCTGTATGTAAATATGTACAAAATATATCATTATACAATAGAATATACTATCTGTGCTGCAAAATATAATCATATATTAGTATACCTTGTAATCGTATATTTAGATAACTTGTCATCATAATTACGTGTAATCCTGTATTTTGATTACTTTTAATCATTATAACAAGTAATTGATTTCCGTAATTGGTTATACGATCAAAATTATGAATGTTTGTAATCATGATTACAAATAATTGATTAACGCAATCACAATTGCAGTTGTAATAAAAATGTGTAATCATGATTACAAGTACTTGATTACTGTAATCAAGAAATGTAATAGATTACGTTTTTACCAGACTCTGATGTCATCAGAAATTATGATTATTTGTAATTGAAATGACTTGTAAACGTGATTATAAGTAACTGATTATATAGCAGTCATTATCTGTAACTAGGACTGGGCGATATTAGAAATTATATATCGTGATGCATCGTCAGTTTTGCATCGCGATATAGTATTTTTGAATTTCATTTACTTGTAAGGCACAGAAAGTCAGATTTCTATCAAAACTTCATACTCAGATTGATTTAAATCAATTTATAAATTTGAAGATATATATGTTTTGCTTAAGAAAGATATTAAATAAATTGACTACAATGTACAAATCTTACTTAAAATATTTATTGAAATATTTGTTTAGAAATTCATAATACGCATAAAACAAAGTGTTAAAAACTTTTTTTAAAGCGTTTTTTACAAATTAATATTTTCTTGTACTATTATGCATAAATAATTACATAATTATTAAGTTCGATCGTAATGTTCAATTTCTAAATGAAACGTTAAAAATTATTTGTATGTTTAAAACAAAGTGCTAAATAAATTTTAGAAAAAAAAACGCTTTTAAAACACTATTTTTTATTATTATCATTTCAGTTATTATAGTTCTATTATAGTTCATTTACGTCACACTAGAGCTGCACAATGGGCTATTGGCGACGGTCTGGGAAACATCCCTGAGGATGATCCGAAGACATGCCATCACAATTTTGATCCTCTGCAGATGGGATGGCACCCCCGCTTCGGTAGCTCGACGACCTGCACGCGAAGTCGAGCACTTTACGGTAGAACAGTTTAACGAGGACCAATACCGCACACCCTCGGTCCCTACGCAGACTGATCCAAGTGGTCACTCACCCGCACACTGACCGCAGCCAGTGATGCTTAACTTCGGTGATCTGCAGGGAACCGTGTCTTAACAATCAGTCCACTGCGGGACTGTCCACATTTGCGGACAGTCCACATTTCAGATAAATAAATTAAATTAAGTAATGACCGAATTATGAACGAAAAACAAAGTAAGATTTATTTTCTTAAAAATAAAAAAATTGTGATATTCGATAATATATTTAACTAATTAACAAATAATATGAAAAGAATATTTTTTAAAAAAAAATTATTATACTCTCTAATAAAACGAAGTACTAAATGACTTAAAAATATTAATAAAATATGCAAACCTTTCAAATTTTTTTGTATAAACAAAGTTGATTGATTTATGCCCAAATCCAAATTACAAAAATTAATTTTGTTTTAACTTTATTTCTAAAAATAAAAACAACAAGATTTAAAATCAGTAATAAAAACTCATTAAATTATTAGAAGTTTCATCCAAAAAGTTTTTTATAAATTAAAAGAAAGTAAAAAAATGACCTAACAAATTCAATTCTTTATGGTCGCCTAAATTAGATTGCCGATAATTTTCACATTTAAAAATAAAAGAAGCTTTTTTAAAAAAAAACTTTTCTAATTAAGGAAGAAACTCTTCTTTATATATTCTTTTCGATAATAGATTGCCTTCAGAACAAGGTAACATCTGCGATCACNAATTAGATTGCCGATAATTTTCACATTTAAAAATAAAAGAAGCTTTTTTAAAAAAAAACTTATCTAATTAAGGAAGAAACTCTTCTTTATATATTCTTTTCGATAATAGATTGCCTTCAGAACAAGATAACATCTGAGATCACAAAGTTAGTCCCACTGAAAATATTCTACAAGAAAAGTCGCGACAAAGAAAAAAAAAGCTATGAGGTGCGAAAAGGAACATGCGATATAACGATATGTGTTCTCAAAACTCTGATTCTGATTCTACAGCTCACCAATCAAGGCCATTTCAACATATCGAAACGAACATCGTCTTCCACAGCGCGAGTCGATATCGGAATGTAAGAGAAGACTCTTAAATCGCTATATCGTTATCTTATATCCTTGCGTGTCTTATATCGCTATATCGTTTTGTGCTCGTTGTCTTTACTCGACGGCTTAGATCAGATTTCTGATGCATCGCTTGAATGAAAGTCGCTGTATCGTATTGTCGATATATGCTTTAAATCAATATGTCTCGATACATCGATTTATAGCCCAGTCCTATCTGTAACCAATTACAGTTGCAATCGTTTCCTGGAATTGTAGCCCAACTCTGCATAAAGCATGCATCACGTATTCTTTTAAAATAGCATCCATATACTGTTAGCAAAAATATTTTGTCAAATATAATAGTCCTATATCTGACCAGCCTATTTTATTTTTAATAACTTGCTCTTTTATCATATAGCAGTATAAACAGATTATAAATTTAAATTTCATTATATTAAATAAAACATACGCTATACCATAATTTTATTTCTTCTTTCAGAATATAAGTTTAGTGAAATTAGTATCATGAGCTATTTTTAAATGGTTTTTCTTTTTCTAGAATTTCTTCTCTTCAATAAATACACAGACAAAAAATTTGCTGTATAACAAATTTGTATTGTAGTTCATAGTTATTTGAATAATTATATGCTTAAGGAAATGTTTTATTATTCTAATTTTGTAAAGATAAGAATTAATGATTTCGCATTAAATTTTTTAATTATATATTTTTTTTCTTCATATTTCTTAACAATGTAGAAATATGAGTTTTCATTGACGCTTTGATTTAGAAGTAGAATATTAATATAAGTAAATGTTTTTTTGCAGCATTGCTGTTGTATGTTGGGTGATACACTATTCTAAGCGTCTACTTGAAACTCTTTTTGTACACCGTTTCTCTCATGCTACTATGCCATTCGGAAACCTCTTTAAGGTAATCAGCTTGCATTATTATGTTCTCTTTTTTTTTGTGATCCTTGACTACTTTCACAAAGATTGTTCAATTGATGCGAGAAAGGCTGGGATAACCTGGTGATTAGGGCACTGGAGCTGTGTCCAAGAGGTCGTGGGTTCGATCCCTGTTGGCCAAAGACTCCCTGTGTAGTAAATGGTGACTGATGCACATAAAATCTGTGGGTTCACCACGTTCCCATAACAAATCACACGTCTGGGGGTGGTACTGATCCAAGAGTTTCCTTGTCTTCTGGATGGGTTCAAAATGACAAGGCTATGGAGTTAAACATTAGTAGTCTGGAACCCAAAATTGGGTCGGCCATTCAGCGACAGTTATAAAATATAAAATAAAATTTATGAGAGAATGTAAATTTGATGAAAAACTTTTTATCTTTATGATTAGAGACTATCATTATAGTTACATTATTTTGTATATTAGTAATTTTAGTTAATTTCTTTCATTCCTACTTTAAAGGTTCCCAAAGCTGTGTAAAATCATACTTTAATAGATATACTTTTATTTATCAATAAAGAGAGAGCTCAATGAAAGTAATGTGCAAAATCTTTAAATCATGAAACCAAAATATACAGTTCTAAAAATTAGTATTCTTAAGATTTTTTATTAATTTATTATTAAATTGAATAGAAATTATTTTAATTACAAATAAGCCTCTTTCTCATATTTTAGCTCATATTAAAAATTTATCCTGTATCTATTTGGTTTTTTTTTGTTTTTTTTGGTTTTTTTTTGGTTTGTATCTATTTGGTTTTATCCTGTATCTATTTGGTTTTTAGAATAAGATCGATATCCTTCTTTCCTTAATTTTAGGCTATTTTACTGGAAAGTGAATGGTTTTAAACGAATTTTGTAGGACATGAGCAACCCAATAAAGATTTAAAATGCAGTCTAACTTCTATTTAACAAACTTCCATTTCTTGAATTTCTCTGTTTTAGGTTTGTTTTTTTTTCTTCCAGGAGCCAAAAACCTTTTGGAAATTTCTTAAAATAACTTCCAAATTGCGAAGTGAATTTTCTATTTAACAAACTTTTCTTTGAGATCCACTTTCCCTATTCCCCAAAATATTTTGAACTTGTTAACGAATTTTATGGGAGAAATAACCTTGAATTGAGTTTCATAGCCCCTTAACTTTCAGAGAAAGCAGTAAAATCACTGTCCCTCTTTGTTTGCATTTCAAAAGAAAAACTCAAACAAAATTAATGCATTTTATCAGTAGCAATTAAACTTAGGAATGCATGTGATAATGTATGTTTAAAATTACTTTTATAATGCATGCAGCTCCAATTTTATACATAAATTTAGCTTTTTTTTAAGTTGAAAATGTATGCAGCATGTAGTGGATAATGTCTTATGCTCTATTCTTATGCAGATTTCTTTTATGGTTAAGATTTATAAAAAAAAATAGTAGATACTAGTTTACAAGATAAAGGTGTATCCATTGCTGTTTTAATTATTTCTAGTGTTTATTAATTTAAAACCTGTTCTGTGTATTTCAAAAGGTGATTTTCTATTTAACGAATTTTCCATATAAGGAACTTATTATCGGGATTAAGCGACTTCATTAAATAGAGGTCTGACTGATTTTTTAAATAAGATATGAATATCCTGCTTTCCAAAATTTTAGACTATTTTATTGGAAAAATGAATAGTTTTAAAAGAAATTTATGGCACATGAGCTACCCAATAAAGATTTAAAATATATATCTAAATATGACTTGTTATGCAGTATTCATCACAGTTTTTTGGATGTATTCAAAGATTATATAATAAATTACATACAAAGATTATATATAAATATTTCAGAGTATTTTGACATTAGTTTTGATTTAAACTTCATTTTCAAAACTGTTGTGAAGCATTTAATTTTCTTTTAATCTTTTTAAAAAAATATGCAATTTGTGATTATACCTTTAGTTGATTCATGAAAAGTTTTTATTTTTTTTCTGCTTGTGTAGCTCCTCATTACAGTGATCAAAGCTAGTGCACTACAAGTAGTAAACCTGTTAAAGTCGCTACTGTTTAGTAGCTTGTTAAGTAAATCTTCAAGCAGCTCAATGAAAATGACCTCACCCCCACACATTTTAGAATTAACAATATGTGTGCTTTTAAAAAAGCACATACAACCAACATTTCAAAAATTTACAGTACCCCCCCCCCTTTTTTCCTTATCAGGAACTTGAAGCAATTTTTATGTAGAACATTTAAAGGATGCAAACTGTATCTAATGAAACTACCCTCTTAATATTCTTATAATTGTTTTACTTTTCTAATAAATTGTTACTAATTTTACGGTAGTTTCCTCTACCCTAATGAAAGCATTTTATTTCGCCAATATCGTCTGCATTTATTTTCTTTTGTAATTTTTTCTACTTTTTCTTTTTTATGCATAGAAACATAATTTAAAAATAAAACATTACCTTTGATTTCAAAAACATCTTTTTGTTTTTATTCTTGTCTACAAAATTGGAAATATGTAACTTTGTGTTTTGTGAAGGAAAATAAAAAAAGGCTTATTTAAATTAATTATATTTTTTGCTCTAAAATATGTTATCTTTTGTTATTAAGACTCTTATTTTTAATACAGTAGAGAACCATTTATCCAGTATCCAGAAAACCGGGGGAAATTTTGCTCGGTTTTCCCGCCATTTGAAACTAGAACAATAATGGGAAAAAAAGCGGAAATTGGACTCATCCTCGAAGTTGAGTAGAGGAAAATGTGAGGAAAGGGAGAATTTTTTTCTCCCGTTTACCCAGAGAAACGTCATTTTTTCCATGACCTTGGAGATCTTCAGGGAAGGGATGAATGTTTTATTTTCTCCTTCAGGCCGTCAATCAAACTCAAAGGAGTGGCATGCTGATTTCGTTTTCTCTTTGATTTACGAGAGGTAGGGAAAATGCATTGCACATACGTATCAGTGAACAGAAAATGAAAGAGGAAAATATATTTATCTATTTGGCATCGATTAATAAAAATAATATATTTTTCTTTTGAATAATTTCTCATTCTTTGGAAGTGCGGTATCATTTGTAAGTTTTTCTTGATGTGGGATCACATCTGCTTTCGTTAAAAATCTTGTTTTTATATGAAGCAGATTGCAGTTTTGTTTTTCTGATTCCACTATGTTTGATTTTTTTTTCTTCTTTTCGCGATAAATTTCGCGCTCAATAAATTAATTCTTTGTATTCATAAATTTTATCATTAGGTTTGTCTTCTTTTTTTAATTCCATTGATCTTGCTTTGTTCCGGGTTTTAATATTTATGTTAGTGCCTTTTTTAACTATCGTTTTGGTTCGATAATTTTCGTTGTTTTTATTTAGATTAACAAGTTTTCCTTTTATTTTATCGTCTTCCCCCCTGTATAATTAGGTATGAAATATATTGCGTTATTTAATCATTGGTTTTGTTTGTATTAGTTAATTTAGGAATTGTAATTATTTTTAAAAAATAAATATAAGAATTTTTATTTTTTTTACTTGTTTTTCTTGTCTAAACTTGCAATTTTTTTTTAATTCTTTTAAATGTTATTTTCCTACTGTTTTCTTCTCTCTTTTTTTTTTTTTAAATATAGGAGTGCTTTTCTTTTTTCTCTTACTTTAAAATGTGTTACAATTTTTCCTTGCAATTCGGGTTCAATAAAACATATTAACGACTCTTTTTAGTTGATCCAGAAAACCGGGAAATTCAGACATCTAGGATAGCGATGGTCCCGAGCATTCCAGATAATGGGTTCTCTACTGTATATGAAAACATTAACGCTCTCCTGCTTTTTTGTATTAAACATAGAATTTTTTTTTTTAATTTTACAACTATTGATATTACAATCTTGTGGTACAGATTTTACACATGCATTAAAATTGTAAAAGCAAAAAAGTTTTGCTTATTTTTTGATTTTTATTAATTTTGTGATAAAGGCTTAACAATTTACTTTATTTGGCTTAAAATTTTTGAATTATATATTTTTTTATTATAGAAATCTATGGTTGCTTTATTTGTGTTTGAAGCTAAATATTTATGTATGTTTGTAATTTGCATTAATAATCTTTTGAAAAAAATGCAATGAATACTAGTAATTAACCGTAGTAAAAATACTATTCAACTTTTAATTCAACTCCTGCAATATTTTTTTTAAATCATTTTCTATTGGTTAACACTGTTTTTAGAATCTTTGAAAGAAACTCAATTTCATGATGATCCTATCCACTCAACTGTGTGTTGTATTCAGATCAACTGCATAGTCAATATTTTTTTTTTAAAGCTTTTAAACGTAACACAGACCAAAGCTGTTTGAACTGAAAAGGCTGATCAAATCATTCAAAAAATGGTTTAGAATAATAAATTAGCTCATATAAACATGAATAGATGTTTCTTCATTTTTCCCATATGAATAAATAATATAATTATTAAATCACTTTTCCTGAATTTTTTCTTTCAATTTTTCAAAAAATTTTTAAATTTTAAACAGGATTGTAAATTATATCTTCCAGAAAATTAGCCTAAGTAGTGATGACTTTTTGAAAGTAGTTTGCCCAATGGTAGAATCGTGGCAACATTGTCACAGAATGCTAGAGTTCTTACAGAAAGATTTTTCTTAGGAGGAGAAAAAAGTTTGTTTTTCTCTGCTGCCTAAATTTACACATAAAATTTGAATTGCGTGGTTAAATAATCACTTTTTGTCGCGTTCATGTTATGCCGATGGTATTGTAAAGTGTTTTGATTGTACTTTCAGCAGTTATTGATTTTCACATGGTTCACTTCCCGATATATTTCAAACAATCAGGGAATTTCAAATCATGCATTTGATAGTTTACTTTTTAAGGCAACTATTCTATAATTTTTTTGGGCCTTTATTGTTTCTGATTTCCGTATAGTTTTTAAAAAATGATATTAATTATTATAACTAAAAACTGGGAAATGCTAGCAGGAAAAAGGTTAGCCTGGGCTAAGAGCCCACCCTGGGCTGTCGAGCCATTGATGATATTATTGGTTACAACAATAAAATTTTGAAACGAAACACTCGTTTGAGTAATCCCTTTTTTGCATCGTCGATCTGTTTTTCGATAATCAGTGCTACGGATTTCATGATTTTTAAATATTTTTGTAAATGGGATGATTTAATGTTTTTAATGCGATGATGATTTTTTACAAAATGCAATTAAGGAAATAATTATTCCGTTGGGAAAAAAATATTACATATTCAATAAAAAAAAAAATTTTAAACACAGCATTTTTGTTACTTTAAATTAGCAACATACGTACATCTTTGTTATTATTGAAAGTACCTTTCAGAAAGATATTAGTGCTAGAAAGTTTTGTCGCAGAAAGCCCTAAAATGCTCTGCCTCATGCTCATTACTACTGTTTAAAAAAAAAGAGTGGTTGTAGTTAGCTACAAAAAGATGTTGTTTTTCCGACTCAATAACACCTTTTTATTTTGAAGTCATTTAATATTCATATTATTTATGATATGATGTGTACTAAAAGAGTAGGTTAGTTTATGTATAAACTTAATGCTGTAATAGCCCATGTCAATGTTATGTAATCAACTTGCATAGATAATAGCCAAAATCTTAATTTTAAATAATACCTGTGCTTTAATAGAAGGGTTCTTTATTGTTCTCTCCTATTTGAAATGGTTTATAACATATTGGCATCTAGGAGTTACATATTTAATGACTATTTATGAATAAAATCTGTTTTTTATTTTGTAGAATTGCTCATACTATTGGTTATTTGGCCTTTATATTGGTTATTATTGTAACCATCCTCTGTATACCCCTCCAAGTAAGTTGCTTCATTTAGTTGCTTTTTTTTTTTAATTTTTGTTTTAGTTTAGGGTTATTTGTTTTAAGTTTATGTCAGAGGTGCAACTCTAAAAAAAAAATTTATGCTTGTGATTTCCAAATTTTGCATTCTAACTAAAAATAACAAAGGGAAAAAATTTTATGAATGGGATGATTATGAGACTTTTATGCAAAATAAAAATAAAAAATTTGTGCTAATCTGTAGAGATTGCGATTTTGCAAAAATTTTGTGTTTGGGCTTAGTAAATTTGCATTTCTAAGCAACTTTAATGTAACAAGGTGTTAAAAATTAAAATTTGCTAAGATATATTGTAATTAATGTAATAAACAGAAGTATAAACCTGGTTTTAGTGTTAATTTTCCTTAAAGGTTCACTTAAGTTTGGTTATATATAAAATAAGAATCAATAATTTAAAGCATGCAATTCTAAATCATTTTTAAACTGTATGTTATTAATAAATGTGACTTTTGAATAATTCTAATAAATCCATTTTAGGATTAACTCTATAAAATTGGGCATTAATATTTTTTTATTTCATATGTTTATATTTGAAGAAATTTGTTCACAATAAGTTTTCCTGTACCACATAAGCTGCAAACTGTGGCATGTATGCCATGAATTGAAAAGCAGTGTTTTACTTACAGTGTTTTACATTTACTCAAAATGTTAATATCACATGTACTTAGTTGATTTTTAAAAGCACAAATTTAATGGCTGTAAATTTTTCAAATGTAGAGTTGTTTTAAATTAAGACTCACATGAGTAATATATTTTTACTATGATCATTTCTATTATGCATGGAGTGGTTTTGATATTTTAAACAGTTTTTAACTTTTTCTTCTATTTTAACTTGTAACTATTGTATTAAATAGTTCATTCCATATTTCTGCCTAAAATATTTTATTGAGTATATTATATATATTAAAATAAAAATATATTATAATAAAAATATATAAACTTTTCAATGTCAACTCTTGCTATTAAAATTATTCATTATTGACTACTTGTATCTAAGAGGTACTACTATATATTATTATATTATATTTAATTCTTTACACAAAATACTTTTTCTTTTCTGGTATATTTTGAACTTTATAATCCAGGTCCAAATAAAAAATGTTTGAAATTGTAGATTTGATTATTGATTATTAGGGTAATTGTATTCTTAATTATCACCCTAAAAGTGCTGTGAAGTTTCTTTTTGATTGCTTTGCAAATTAATCTTGATTGGCTCTCTCAGTTAATACTTGTATAATTTAGTCTAGTTTTATTTGTATATGAACTGGTACTCTTTTCAAACTGACATCCTAAAAAATGCAACTTATACTCTATTCTCTGAAACTTTAGATTTACTGTTCTAATTATTGAAAAAAATATCCCTATATGCACTTATAAATTTACATATTTAGAGACACAACAGTTTATTGTACTATATGCTAGTACTACGTATAATCAAAGAAAAAAAGGTTGGCTGCTATTTGTAAATTAAACTCATCCCTTTCTGCATTAAGAAGCATCATTAAAACTGAAATGCAACTCTAAATTTGTATTCAACCTGCACAAATTTTACATAATAAACATAATTATTGAACAGTTTATTTAAATAAATTGTTTTTAACTTTTCATTTGTAACCGACCTATACATTAGCTTCATTAAAGTTGTGAGCATGTACGTTTAAGATGACATGTTTATGACTACTCACTCGCTTGAAATTTCAGTTTTCTATTCTTTGTTGCTTACAGGAAAAGAAATTCCATCGACTTTTTAACAATGTTCATGTGCACTAGTATTTTGTATAATATAGCAGTATCTTTATGATAAAACTATTATTAAATGATTATTTTGACTCTGTTTGACTCAAATTATTTCTTTTTTCTATTAAATAAGATATTTTTTATAGGTTATGGAGACGTGCAAATTTATGGTGCTTTAGCTACATTTATCGTAAATATAATTTCCTTTTATTTTCAAGAGATATAATTTTATTGAATGAAATGATTAACTTTTTATATGTATTTTCTAGATTGCTGAATTGGGTAATCTGAGTATTCATCTCGCTCTACGAAACTTACGTCCACCAGGTATAATCTTTTCGAAATTTCAAATACAAAAAAAAAAATGTAGGATGAAATAAATTCTCTGAAATGTTTAGCTGGCTTTCAGAAGCATTTTAACTAAACCACTAAATTTCGAATTTGGTTTTTCATCTTTATAAGATATAAAAATTTTAATTTTTTTTTTATTTAGGAATGCAGTCAAGTCATTTTTTCTGTAAGATTATTAAAAATCCCTTCGATTTGTTTTGTAAAAGAAGGTTTATGAAAGTATTTTTCAAAACACTTGTGAACCAAATTATTTTTATCACGAAAACAAAAAATCGAGGTTTGTATAGGTGGACCTGACCCAGAAAAAAACCCAGCAAGTTTTTTTTTATTTTTTTTTTATTTTTTTCAAATTGAGCCCATTTGCAAGGATTTTTCTTAGCAGTTCTTAAATAAAAATATTCTTTACAAATATGAACTTATTTTTTAATTAATTTAACTTTTTATTCAAAATTATATAATAAAGTAAAAAATTTCAAAGGTCTGGTTATTTTTTGTGCAAACGGAATTTAATATAAATAAATTAAATGTGAAGAAAATAAAATACATGATTTAAAAAAAAAAACATTGCTACATTATACTACTCCAAATGTATAATCCAAATAAATGTTTATTTTAGTAATGATTGCAAAACCATGAATAAAAAAAAAAATGAATCTTAAAATATTTTCACTTTTGTATGCTCCTTTAAACGAAGTATTTTTAGCTGAATCAGTCCAATCTTTAATTGAATGCAATTCTCTTTTGGTTGTGACTCATTTTATTATTAAATCATAAACTAATTGTTAAAATTAACTACTTTTTAGGTTGTAAAAGCTGTTAATATCCATTTATATTACATCTATCCATTTAAAGAAAAAATTGTCCCTTTTACTGTAATTAATAAAAATGAATTTATTGTTTTAAATTATACTTGGGTAAATTGTTTTTATAAATTGGTGCAACAGTGTTTTGATTTTATCCATAAGTTCAAGAAGCACAGTGCAAGAATTACTTTGAGTTACAATGTGTCTTTTTTTAGATCCATATTGGAACATAAATTTAGGGGTCAAGAATCTTGAGTTCATAGAGTTGCTTGAGTTTTAATTCTATTTTATGTTGAATTTCATAACTTAAATTATCCCTTTCAACGCCGCATTTACAATATACCTTTTGGAATCGTTAAGATTACACCTTAATACAGTTAAAACAAAAAAAGGAACACTTTAAAGAACTTTTGATCTAATGATCAGATTTTCATGTACTATACTCAATCAGAGTTGCCTTTTTTTCCTTCTTAATACAGAGATATTGTGCTCCGGAAAATATCCGGTTTTCCGCCAACCGTGATCTGGAAGTTTCAAGAAATCCTGAATCACATTTATGTGTAAAAATTCTTGTATATTTTATTTAAAAATATTAGAACTAGAATTTATACTTGGCATCTCTTTCATTTGAAAATATTTTTTCTGGTAGAACAACAAATGTGATAAGAGATAAAAGTAAACTTATACATAATTATTCATTTAAATTATGCTGCGTATAATTTATTTAGAATTTCATGTTTTGAAAATATCAATGGTTTAAATTTTTGAAATGCGTCATTAATGATTTTACTCAAGAAATGTTGAGGATTTTTGACTCATAATCACCCCTGTTAATATCAAATTCAAAGCAAGAGCTATTTCATTCCTTCTAAAGATTCTTTTTCTTTTCAGGAACAACGGAGAGAAAAATTCCTGTACCCACAGGCAATCCACTTACCTCTCTCTTCAATTTTGTATCTTGCCCAAACTACACCTATGAATATCTCGCCTGGCTCTCTTTCACTCTCATGACTCAAACTTTACCGGGTCTGTTTTTATTTCAATATTATGTATTTATTGAACATTTTAAATACCCACTCATATATTGCCTTCTTAACTATTGTGTGGCTGATACATGTTACTTATTTTTTAAATATTTGAGCTAATTTTACTCATTTACAAGTAACTCCTAAGTGGTCTTGTACAAAAATTACCCTTTCCTGTTACTTTTGAATGAGTGGCAACAGAATATTTAATTCTTTAAAAATATTTCATGAAACAAATATAGTCAATCATAAAATAGGGCTAAATTACTATCAGATTTTTTCTTATTCACAATTAATGAAAGCTAAAGGCCTGGTTTCTTAGGACAGGTCGGCCTTGCAAAACGTTAGCTTGAAGCGAGCGCTAACCCCTAATGGGTCAATTTGTTAGTTAGAAAGCACGAATCATTGAACACTCGGCTCGAACAAGATCTGCCGTCCCAATCGACTGCAGTTGGATTAAGACGCAACGTTAACGGCAAAAACGACGACGGACAACAGAGCATTTAAATTGGGCAAGATTTTGATTTCCAGGAGAAATTAATCTCTGAAATTAAAAAACGATGTAATTTGTATAATGTAAGATGTAAATCTTTCTAAGATTCCAAGCTTAAAAGCAAAATGTGGTTTCAGATTGAAAGGTCATTCCTTTTTCTCTAAAGCATGGGTCGACAATAACGCATAACGTTATAGGAGGCAGCTACAAAATCAAAATAAATAATTGATTACGTCATTAACATATGCGCAATGTGAGATAATGTCTGCATTGGAACAACTGCTCACGCTGAGCTTACAAAACAGTATTTTGTCGGGGTACGTCGACTTCCCGCTGACGCCTCGTTTTAAGAAACCAGGCCTTTCATGTTATACATAAAAAGTTAGAATAGATTCAATACACTTTAATTGTCTGGGCACTAGTGATGTCTAAAGACGTCCTTTCACCTCTTGTTTTCCCTTCTCTAAAAACCAGTCCCTCCCTTTTGCACAAAAAAGTTGTGTCGTTAGAAGCTTTTACAAACTTTACCCAATGTGAAATTCTTTGTCGATTAACCTAAAATTTAAATGTTATGCAACACTTACGAAAAAGGTTACTTTTTCTATTGTGTATTGCCAAACACTTTCCTACTGTTCACTTTTTCCTTCTGCCAATTACTTTTTTTAATATTTATTATCTCGTTGTAGCTGGTCTGTTCACGTTGGCTGGTCTCTATCAGATGTCCGTATGGGCATTGGGTAAGCATCGCAACTACAAGAAGGAATTTCCCAATTATCCTAGAGGAAGGAAAGCTATCATTCCATTTCTCTTGTGAGAGAAATGATTGACTTTTTCGTATCACATTCCTACTTATTTTCTGCCATCTTGAAAGTCATACTTCTGTTACCTGGATAAAGCACTCAATGTTAATTCAATTTTTGTTCATTTTTTATACTACTATGAAATTTGTTATATTGCAATGGTTTGGTTATTTATACACACTTGCATAGTTACTTCAATAAATTTTTGTTTTCAAAAAAAAAAAGTGTTCTGATTGAGTTATGGATTGCAATATTCTGTGTAGTTGGTAGGAAAGGAAAATGCAGGGTATCCAAGCACCTGGAAAGTCATGAATTTCGGTCACTGCAAAATCATGGAGATAGGTCACCGAATTTTCAAAATGGATTTTATTCATCCCCCTAATTTCATGGTGTTCCGAATATCTCAATTTGTAACAAAATCCCCTCTCACAGTCCTGTTTTATTAAAATATAAAATGTTTTTATCATGTTCTTTCAAAAAATGAAAGAAGGAACATCATTTCCAGAGTGAATTATCTTTTAAACTTCTGTGATTTCAGAATTTATATTATTATTAATTTTTTTTTTATTGTATCAATTTAAAATTCTAGCTGAAGCAAGCCAGTCATTGGCAAATTTTTTTTAATTCCAAAATGAGAACAGAAAAATCAGGAGTATTTCTTTGCTTTTCGATGAACAAGAAAATTATCTTTAGATTATAATTCTGCAGAAAAAAAATTATTTGCTTTTTTATTTTTTTCAGCTATTTTATTGTTTCAACTCTTTTTCTCTCTATTTTTTAAATTTAAAATCTATAAATATGAAGATGCACAGTATAATTGTTTTGGTTATACCTATCATTTCAATTAATGTTATTATAATGCTTTTTAAATTTATTATTCTGTTTTTGTCGGGAGAAAATAGTAATTTCGTTAAGTCATGAAAAATTCTTGGAATGAGTCATGAATTTGAAAATCTAAAATATAGCAGATACCTTGAAAATAGTCTGAATGCTTTCGGTTAAAATCGTGAAAATGTAGCCACTGTTTCACGAACAAGAGACAAAAAAAATATATATATATATATACATGACTTCACGTGCATAGTGTTTTTAAAAATTGCTTAAAGGTGCTTATTTTTGAATTTCATTTTTTAAAGCCCTTAAAGATGCTTCTCTTTATTGGGTATTTTTAAAAAGTGCTTCATTTTCCCTTTTCGAAAATTATATATTTTTTTTCTTTACCATGTCAATTTTCACTGCTTATTATGCAAAAGCGTGCTTTTCACATTCTATTCAGCGTTTTCACAATTCATTCGACCACAATCTATTTTGGCCCGTAACATATGACAGCGCTCATAGTGTTACATATTTGATGAAATTCTTGGGAGTCTGCCTGTGTGTCTACTGAACTGGATTCGGTGAGATTTTTGTACGCTCCACATTTTGCAAAATATAGAATTCATTCAAACAATGCATTTCGGCGTACCGTCGGTGAGTAGCGTCTGAAGTTGTTGTTAATTTACGTCGCACTAGGACTGCACAATGGGCTATTGGCGACTGTCTGGGAAACATCCCGGAGGATGATCCGAAGACATGCCATCACAATTTTGATCGTCTGCGGAGGGGATGGCACCCCCGCTTCGGTAGCCCGACGACCTGCGCGCGAAGTCTAGCACTTTACGGTAGAACAGTTTAACGAGGACCCATACCGCACACCCTCGGTCCCTACGCAGACTGATCCAAGTGGTCGCCCACTGACCGTAGCCAGTGATGCTTGACTTCGGTGATTTGCTGGGAACCGTGTCTTAACGATCAGTCCACTGCGGGACNCACAGCCACATTTTATTAAAATATAAAATGTTCTTATCGTGTTCTTTAAAAATTAGGTTCTTTCAAAAAATGAAAGAAATAATGGCATTTCTAGAGCAAATTATCTTATGAAACTTATGTGATTTCAGAATTTTTGTTATTATTTATTATTTTTTCTTTTATCAATTAATTAATTCTAGCTGAAGCAAGCCAGTCATTGGCAAATTCTGTTTATTCCGTAATGAGAACAGTAAAATCAGGAGTATTTGTTTCTTTTCCGATGAACAAGAAAAGTATTTTTAGAATAGAATTCTGCAGAAAAAAATTTTTTTTGCTCAGCTATTATTTTTCAGCTATTTTATTGCTTCAACTCTTTCTTTACTCTGTTCTTTAAATTTAAAATCTATTAAAATGAAGATGCAGAGTATAACTGTTTTGGTTATACCTATCATTTCAATTAATGTTATTATAATGCTTTTTAAATTTATTATTCTGTTTTTGTCTGGAGAAAATAGTAACTTCGCTAAGTCATGAAAAATTCTTGGAATTAGTCATGAATTTGAAAATCTAAAGTATAGCAGATACCTTGAAAATAGTTTGAATGCTTTCAGTTAAAATCGTGAAAATGTAGCAACTGTTTCACGAACAAAAGACAAAATATATATATATACGTGACTACACATGCATAGCATTTTTAAAAATTGCTTAAAGGTGCTTATTTTTGAATTTCGTTTTTTAAAACTCTTAAAGGTGCTTTTTTTTTATTGGGTATTTTTAAAAAGTGCTTCATTTTCCCTTTTCGAAAATTATATATCTTTTTTCTTTACCATGTCAATTTTCCCTGCTTATTATGCAAAAGCGTGCTTTTCACATTCTATTCAGCGTTTTCACAATTCATTCGACCACAATCTATTTTGGCCCGTAACATATGACAGCGCTCATAGTGTTACATATTTGATTGAAATTCTTGGGAGTCTGCATGTGTGTCTACTAAACTGGATTCTTCGAGAGTTTTGTACTTTTGCGAAATATAAAATTCAGTCAAACAATGCATTTCGGCGTACCGTCGGTGAGTAGCGTATGAAGTTGTTGTTAATTTACGTCGCACTAGCGCTGCACAATGGGCTATTGGCAACGGTCTGGGAAACATCCTGGAGGATGATCCGAAGACATGCCATCACAATTTTAATCCTCTGCGGAGGGGATGGCACCCCCGCTTCGGTAGCCCGACGACCTGCGCGCAAAGTAGAGCACTTTACGGTAGCACAGTTTAACGAGGACCAATACCGCACACCCTCGGTCCCTATGCAGACTGATCCAAGTGGTCACCCACCCGCACACTGACCGTAGACAGTGATGCTTGACTTCGGTGATTTGCTGGGAACCGTGTCTTAAAAAGTACTTAGAAGGTGCTTATTTTTTGTTGAGAGATGGCTACGCACCCTAATGGATGCTTAATTAAATTTGGAATAGGCACTATACTGGTATTGGTGCTTTTAATCGATAACAAATAAACTAATATAGTACAATAAATATATTTGGTACTTATTAAATCTGTGCCAAAACTTTGCAGTTTCATAATAGATGATGATACAGTGGAAAGAGATTTATTACACATCCTCGAAAGAGATAAGCACCAGTGAAAATAGCAGGATTGTGCTAAATTTTGACTAGCCTGCGTTAGCCACAAGCATCATTACAAATGATACTGTATCATTTGATAAAACTACTAAATATGTGCTTAGTTCAATCTAACAACATAAAAAAATAATAAGCAAGAAATAAAAGCTAATATTGGAATTATTTTAGCTATACTTATTGTGTTGGTATGTGCCTATGCTTTTCATGTGAGTTAAACGTTATCAGGGTTTTTAAAAAGTGCTTATTTTTGATTTACGTTTTTTAGAAGACCTTGAGGATGCTTTTTTAATTCCGGGTTTGTCCGGGCATTTTCTTATCTTTTAAAAAGGGATTTTTTCTTTACCGTATTGATTGTAGTTCTAAATTACAAAAAAACAAAAAAAAATCATGATTTTTTCACAATTTTCTCTGCAATATTTCTCAGAAGATAGTTATTTTATCATGATGGTGCAAAGTTTTAGAAAATATTTTTGAATTTTATTGATTTTATGTTCTTAAATCCATTCACTTAAAAGGTGCTTATTTTTTGTTGAAAAAGCTGGCTACGCACCCTCGTTATGATTTATTGATTTTTTTTTCTCCCAATGAGAAGAATGGAAAATTCAGCTAATAAACTGACGTGTATATTGCCAGTGATCAGAGTGTTTCATGGCCCCCTATAACCAATAAATCCTCCCTAACTTCAACATTCTAATTAATAAAACCATTATAATTACGTTTCTGAAACAAAGAAGAATATCTATTCGTATCAAATCAAAAATAGAACATAACGTCCGTTTTGGAAGACGGGTCATTTTTTGAGATGATTATGTAGTTAAATGAGCTTTGAAAAACCCTATATCAACTGAAATAGTAATGAAGATGCGGACGTTTTTATATTGAAAAAAATTGTCTTGCGTTTCTAAGCTGAAACTTTAAAAAAATTTCAATAAAATAAAACAAAATTATGCAAGATATGAGCATTTATTTTTTCAGTTCATACGGGAAACACATTATAACGTTTAAAACCATAGAAATTGGCTAAATTCATTGACTCGTAATAATTTTAAATTAAATAAGATTAAAAATAAATCATAATAAAAAGGTAAATTTCAAAAAAAAAAAAATTTTTTTACATTTTTAAAAAAAAGTTTTGACTTTCAAAATGGGCGAAAGAAACTTGAGAACCCTCTAAACAATATAAGTACAAAACGGTTCACTCAGTGCCGTTTTTCTGTTTACAGGGGCCTGTCTTTATTTGGGGTCCCTTTATAATTTAGAGAAAAAAAAATTTTTTTTGAATAATTTTTAAAAATTATTTTAAGGGTAAAAAACATATAAATTAATCATAAAAGCTTATACACATTATTTTTTATCGAAAATTTAAGGTAACAGTATTTTTCGAGAGGCCTTCTATCAAAATCAATTTCCTGTAAGACATCATATTCAATGCTCATAATTGACAAGTGACTCAATCTTTCTTGAGTCACTTCTATTTCTTAACTCATTTTTTATTAATTTTGGTCTGGAGAATGAACGTTTGCTACCACAATTAGTTATCATGAGTGATAAAAAAATTTGAAATGAAATGTCAATGTTTGGAAATTTATCTTCCAGATTATTTTTCACTATTTTATTCATGTCATTTATGCCTAATTGTCCTAACTTATTCTCCTGACCCAAATAATACTTGAAATTATTTATTTTTTTTAATAAATTTTGAATATATCGAATATACTTTTTTCTCAATTTTTTTTCTTTACGTTACATTTTGCTTTGCTGCTCAAAACCTGTAAGACTTAGAAACACGAAATTA